GACTAATCCCTCCTGGAATTCTTTCCGGCTAGAAGTCGGAATAACGCAAGCATCGTGTGACTTTGAGAGGCCTGGAGAGCGCTGGACAATTCAGTGCAGCGCAGTACCCTGTCCTCGCATCTCGGCTACTAGGAGTTCAGCCTTGTGATGTGCTGGGCATGTTTCTTTTCAGTGACCCCACTGCTGTGTGAGATCAGACCTTTAAGAAGCAAATGAAACCTTAATGGTGACCTCATGAATTATTGATTTACCATTTAATGAGGTATGTATGTGCAAGGCGGGATCCTTCTTTGTTTACCAAAAGGCATGAAGACTGTAAAAGAAAAGCCTGAGAAAAGACAGCAAAAATTATGGGTGCTTGGAACAATCAGGTACCTTCTACCCTGTCCTTGGCCTGGTTTGGTGTCTGTGAGCAAGTGGTCCTGCTCTGTAGTAAGCACTGCTCTGCTCAGGGAGTCCTTGTAGATGGAAAGGGGCAGCAGGATCTCCAGTGGCAGTGCAGAGGCAAAGACCTTCCATAATGTTGGCCATGGCTTCTGTTGCAACAGCCTGGTGGCTTTTGAAGTGCACAGAACTGCATCCCAGCACACCACATGTTGCTTTAACACTCAAAGTGTCTTTAAAAGAGTGAATGAAAGACTTTTAGCTACAAAGCGAGTCCCCTCATCTTTGAAAAAAGGCTTTGCTGCAGACTTTGGTCCCTAAAGAGGTCACCACCGGCTCAAAACAGAGAATGAACGGGTCTTCTGCACAAGGCACATTTAACACGTTGCCATAGGAACCGGTTACCTAATTCAGGCATACACAATTCCTCTTGCCCCCAGTGAATTCCAGTAATGGGTTTATTATATCACACTTCATTGGTGTCATCTGTCACCCAGACACTCACATAAATGAACCAGCCTTTGATTTTACGCTGCCTTCTACTAGACGGACCCATCCAGTATTGGATGGGTCTCCTCTTGGGTCTCGTGGTTGTGAGCTGGTCACTTTTATATCCAGCTTTGCATGCTAATGTCTTCTTTTCATGCAAACATCATCTTCGTTGAAGAACATTTGTTTTCATTTCCCAATATTCTGATTTATTGAAAATGTGCTCTTAATCCCCGAGATCCTTGAGAGCACGTGCTGTCAGGATGCAGGTCGAAGCATTCTGAACCCTTTTTTCCCCAGATGGTGTCTGCAGTGCAAGTCACACAAACATCTGATGCAACGTTGTGGTCACTTCTCCTTTTGCTTGGGCCAGAGCTTTTATTTACATTAGCTGCACTGAAGGTTCATTTCAGGGTTTGTGACTACACAGTACAATGCTTTGCTTATTAGAAAGATGGGTGGATGGACAGTGGGCATGTTTGCAGGTATGAAAGGTGGTTGAAAAAAATCAAAATAGCTTCTGAAAAGAACAGATGATTTCACCAAATTTTAAAAAGCATCTGGAGATTTTCCAGAAAATTTGTGGTAATGATGTCTTGGTTGGACTGAAACACTCACTACAGCAATGAATTTGGAATGTTGAACAAACATTCAAGGCAAGGCTCTCTAAGACAGAATGGCAAGATACCAAAATATAGATGCTCACCTGGCTTGCAGATTGAGACCAATGAAAGAAGATGAAATACTCACAGGTGCTAGAAAATGCTTTGTAGTTTGTTTCTTTCCTTGCGGCTATTCAAAACGTATCGTGTAGAATATTATAAACAAGTGGGTCAGGAAGCTGCATATTCCCTAGTAAATAGCAGGGCCACTAAGATGAACTGCAAAGTCTGGGCTCCTTAGCTTCGTTTAGTTTTCAGCATTGCACAGCTTTCAGAGCTTAGCTTAATGGTGTAAAACTGATCTGGGAAGTACAGGAGATTGGTGAGAAACAAGCAGCTAATAGAGCATGTTAAACAAGTGAGAGAATCAGAGGACCCTTGGTCTCAAATGGCAACAGTGACTGAGGAAGGAACAGCAGCCAAGCACTGAGCTTGGAAACTGGAGCACTGGAATTGGAAGAGAAGGTTGGAGAGCGAACAACATTAATGAGCTAATAGTTCATGTGGGTTCCGCTGGGCAGGCAGTGGTGAAATACATGCCAGAAGTGCTGTAGATCTGAGCCCAGAGAAGGGGATTTAATAAATGCTGGAGTAAAAGGAAACTGCAAAAAGGGCACTAGGAAGCCATCTCCATGCCCCCTAATGCATGACGTCTGTCTTAGTTCTGCCTCATCTCAGATGGCATCTAGATATGTGACCCAGTCAGAGGTGAGAGATAAGGGATAATTTAAAACTGATAAGTGACACACCTTAACCTCATCATCCCCTGGGTTATGACATTGTTACATCACTCACCAAAATATATTTTGCTTCCATTCTAGTATCCTCAAAGGTTCTGCTCACCTTCCTGATGTGCTGCCAGGAGAAACCTTTCTCACTGGTCTTGAAGGCGCACCAGAGTGTGCTGCCTGTGAGAAATACATCTCAGTTTATAGATGCCTATATGTTTTTACAGCTCTACCACCTTCCCTTTTCTCACCCACATTCTCAGTTTTGGAAGCCAAACAACCTGAAATCTTGTTCCCTGATGCATCAGATAAGAGTTTTAAACTTAGTATTCCTAGTAAACCATCTCCTCCATGATTCCTGGTGTGTCCTATTAAACAGGAATTTATATCTCTTCTGAAAGCAAATAGGACAGTGCCTAAGAAAATCTGGGCTACCATACACTGGAAATGACATCAACCCTTTCAGTAGAGAGAGAAGACATTTGTCTTAGAAAATTAATTAACATGTAAGCTGGAAATAGTTTTAATCATCCAAGAAATGCTGTCTGCTTGTGATGTGAGCTCATCAGCTCTCCAAGGCTTGGTCAGTACCAGTAATTGGATAGGTCAGAGGGGAGGTGAAAAGAAAACAGAGAAAACTGCAGAAAATAGTGTGTGGGGGGGATATGTTCAACCATGACCTGCTTCCTTCCGAGTCACTTCCGAGTCGGTGCTTGAGAGGCTGCCTGGTGACAGTTGTATAATCTTTAGAATATGGTATAAAGCTGCAGTTTGGAGATACGTAGGCAAAAATCCCATGAAACTTGCAGTAACAATGCCACTCAAGCAAACCTGATCAGAAATCACTTCAAGTGACGACACTCTGCCTCCCTAGATTTTCATTTACAAAAGAATTTGCTGCTTCATATGGCTGGCCTGGAAAGTCGGATGCGGTTGCACCCTTGTCACAGTGATATTTCATGTATTAGTTAAGAGGTCGCCTTAAGGTCTGTCCAGAACTTCAGGATCCTCTCAGGTTGATGTGCTGGGAAACAGTATTTGTCCTGTTCTCTGCCGAGTTGCTCTGTGGATCTCTGTGTGCTGCTTTATAGCTTCAGCTCCCCGTCGCATGGAGGAAGTGACCTCTGTATGTATTCAATTAATTAACAGTTCATGAAACTATTTGGGAACTGAAAGGACATGACCTGTAAATATATGACTGATATTATTGTTATTAGCATTTTCTATCATCTGCTACCGTAGTGTGAATTGATTAAGCATACACATATTCATTTCAGTGTACTTGCTGCCCAAGCTGACAGAATCCTTTTGACTTGTAATCACAAAGGCTTGTGTTGGATGAATGTTTTATTATTTGGTTTTCTGCCATCCACTTCTCATTTATTTTAGCAGCAACACATGGTCTTAAGTGATATTTTCCAAAGTTAAGTAAGCACAAAACCCAACATAGGGCAGGGGAACAGAGGATACTGTACTAGAGCAGGAAGAGCTGTTTTGCATTTAAGGCCAAGGCCTTTGCTTCAAAGCTTGGATTTTGTTCTGTACTCTACCAGAATTGTCATGTTTTAGCACAAACCACTTCACCTTTCTGTGCTTCTCTTTCCCCATCTGTGAAATGGCAACAGGACCCTTACATGTGTACTGAAGGTCATTAAACAGACCTTGCAAAGTACTTCCAGATTTTTGATTGGAAGGCACACAGCAATGGAAAATGATATTAGATGCCTAGATTCTATACTGACGTGGCAAGTGAAATCTCTGTACAAAAGACATTTGGATGTATTTGACATAAATGTATCTTACTGTGTGACTAGTAGAATTGCTACTCCAGCAACAAGACAGTTCAGCAAATGATTTACTCCAGATTTCCACTCTGCAGAGATGTTTCCCAGTGTGTTGCACAAAGATGAGCTGAGGCTCTCTGTACTGCTGCCTCCCTGTCTCTGGTGTTCTGTACTAGCTCCTTTCTTCTTGAGTGCATTTTGAAACATGCTGCTTTTTTTTTTTTAGGAAAACACTGTTTTCTAAAGCCTATCTGGACCTTTCACCTCACACCTGAGCTTAATTTGTAGCAAAATATTACTGCCCAAATCTTCATGATCGTTTCCAGACAGAGAAATGAAGAAGAGGTTTGTGACTTCGCTAGAGAAGAGAGAAATAAGTGGAAAGACTCCAGCTGCTGATGTGCCTGTGGGATTGTCTTATAATCTCCCTGTATACCTCCATGCCCCTCTATAAAAAGATACCAACGATATCTATCTTCTTTCCTATCTAAAGTTTTTGAGATTGATGAACAAAAAGGCTTATAGCTGAACTGCATACCTGATTAATAAGCAGTTTCTAATGCTCTTCTCAGAGGAATTTATCAGAGTAATCATACATTTATTTAAAAAGAAAACCCTCTCCATCTACTGGCACATCAAAATACTTATACTAAAGGAACTCTGCTCTCTGTGTTGAATAGTGAAACATGGCTGCTTACACCCATTTCTTGTTTCTAAGGCTTTCTGTCACGCCTATGCCTTGCTATTTTATCAGAGCTGACCCTCCCAGCAGGGACAGCGTATTTTCATTGACTTATTTATCTTTTCTCTTTATTTTCTTACCATAAAGCCCTCAGGGAGAGGCTGCCTCTCTTGATTTTTATAGACAGCGTCCCTTGGAGAAGATGCTCATTTTCACCTAGACTTGCGGTGTTCAACATCAAACATTGTCCAAACCGCAGTTATTTGCTTACCTCTCCTCTGGTGCAGGGCACTGCATCGGAGTACCTGGATGTACACATGGAGCCCTCCTCAATGAGGTCATCCTGGAGCCCAAAAGTAGCTGTACAGTTGGCAGAGAAATATTTGTAGGGCCTCCAAGTCTGCCCATAGTCCTGGGACCTTTCCAGCACCATCGCAGCTGGGCGAGGTGACTTGAACACGGCTATGACGTGGGTCAGGTAGAATTCAGTTTCAAAGTCCAGCCTGATTTCCTCTCTGTGCACCCCTTGGGCAGACTGCCACCAGGAGATGGGGTTTGCAAAGAAGTCATCCGTCATGTCAGCAGGGAGATGGGAGTTATCCGGCTGGTTGGCATTGCACTTGGTGCAGCGAGGCTGTCCGCAGCCCTGGGCCGCCGGATGGAGCAGGTTCTGATCCGGGTAGAAGCAGTACAGTTCGGTGCTGTTCTGCCCACAGGTGGTGAGAGTGGCTGGTGTCCTCCCGGTCGCCAGGTTGCCCACTGGAGGATTGCATGACCGGCCGTTGCAGCGGTAGCCTTGTAGCCTCGTGGGATCTGAAAGACAGGCGAAAGAAACAAAACTAAGCAAAATTTCCCAGGTGATTCCCAGGCTCTAAACCCCCTGACCATGCAAATGTTGGGATTTTCTTTCTGCACCCAACAGGACTTAGTGTTAAGAAAGCTACTTCATCTTCTCACACAAAGTCTGGAGGGCACTTCCCAGTGAATGCAATCCTTGCTGTAGGTGCCAAAGTCGGGAACTGATGTCTTCAGAAAACTCAGGTGCTACCTGTGAGCATTTGAAGGTCTAATTTTGATTTCTGTTAAAAATGCACTTGGCTGCTGGTCTGTCAAACCATGTGCTTAGGTATAGAAATCTGTTTTTTCTTACTTTAGTCCTAGCAAAGCTCCATGTCTAAGGACTTTTCCGTACACTTATTTCCATTGTCATCAGAGAGTGAAGCAGGCTGCATTATGCACCGTAGGTTCAGTAAAAAAGAAATGATTCCTGGCCAACAGATTGCAGACTGTTTACACATAGAGAGAGCTATAATCACAGAATCACAGAACGGTTGAGGTTGGAAGGGACCCCTAGAGATCCTCTAGTCCAGCCCCCCATGTGGCACAGGGTGGCATCCAGGCGGGCTTGGAAGATCTCCAGAGGAGACTCCACAACCTCCCTGGGCAGCCCGGGCCAGGGCTCTGGCACCCTCACAGGAACGTTGTTCTTCCTGACATGGAGATGGAGCTGCCTGGGTTTCAACCTGTACCCATTACCCCTTGTCCTGTCACTGGCCACCACCGAGAAGAGCTTGTCCCCATCTTCTTTACACTCTCCCCTCAGGTACTTATACATATTGATCATATCTCCTCTCAATAAAACATGTATTTCTATAGTTATGCATTACTGGCCAATTTTAAGAGGTACTGAGTTTCTGACACTACTTTTCAAATCAGCTGGAGTTGTTAATACTTAGCAGAGCAGAAAATCAAGCCTCTCTCTTGTTTAAATGCTTTACTATGGGAACAGGCAGCTGTATTCTGTTTACCAAGTTTACAATTATTGGTAAACAAGCCCTTTTTTCTATATTCAATATAGGTATTTCTAAATTAGTAAAAGGTAGGGATAACTGAAAAAGTCATAATATTGTTTGGAAATCAGTAATGCCTTGTGACACTGGATCACAAGTTATTCCCAAAGTCTTATTACCAAATTGGAGAAAGTTGCTTTTCTAATGACTTCTTCTAGGGAATTTTCTAGGGAAATTTCCCCCAAAGGTGGGGAATGCATGTTGTTCTGGAAAGCATCTCATGCATTTTGCATCCTAGAATTCAGACACGATGCCAAGTCTTGGCATGTCCAGTGAATCCCACTGACCAGTGGAGTCTGGAGGGGGAATTCCACTGAGCACAAGAGTTCCTGAAAAAGGATAAATACATCCTTATGGCTGAACACAACTTTTACAAGCTGCAGCACCTCAAGATTGTCCTTGCAAGTGGCATTTCAGTGTCTACATTGTCATATTTGACTTCTTTGGTAAAAAATGTTGTAAAAATAGAAAGTACAACAATTCTTATGTTTATAGTAAATTGGATATTAACTGCTTTTGCTCGGTGCTGCACGAAGGTGTCATGAGACACCTCCAGAGAATTTATGTAGGCCCAATCTTCCAACTGAGCTCTAAATAAGCATTAGCTGTGACAGGAGTCAAGGCACTTAGTTTTGATTAAGACTGAGCTCATGTTACAAATCCCACTGAAATATGGATAAGCATGCCCTGTAACTAAAAGAAATTCCATCTTTATTGATATATGACATCATGAAAGCTTTCACAGAGGAAAATGGGTCCTAATGTTCTAAATTGAAGGAGTTACACAGGGGAAGCTTTGCAAACATGAATGAGAGAAAGAAAAAAGGAAACTTTTTTAAAAGGAAATGGCTTTTACTTTTATTTCCCATAAATGGGCTATCTGTCCCATACTGAGTCTTTCATCTATATTTATATGGACCTGGAAAGGCAGGAAGAATTTGGTCATTCTAATCAGCAGTCGCAAGATGCTTTAGCTGCTCTGCCTGCTAATGCAGCAACATCAATAAACAGTTCCTGTCCGAACTGCTGTGTCATTAGGAAAATGGGAGAGGAAGAGCATGCAAATTAGTGCAAGGGAGGTTGAGAGAAGGAGAGAGGCAGGAAAACAACTTTTGCAGTCAATTAAAAGCTTTGCATTTAGAGAGATCAATGGATAGGATGTTACTTAGCCACGAGGATGGCTCAGCCTGTCCATCACTCACTGATTCTGCGGAAACAACACGAAGTGAGCCTCTGAGCATCTCACTGCAGAGAGATACCGCAGCCAAGCCACCAGACAACTTCTCCTAAATGCCAGGGTGGGTTGATGAATAATAACAACAAAATAAACAGTTTGATTGTGCACGGGCCATGCATGTCATTGAGGCTGATTAACTTTTACTGCACGATGTGTGCCTTGGCTCCGTAAAGGGTATCACTAATTTATTTATTTATCTTCTGCTCTTTCTGGGCCGTGCCACCGAGTGGCAGGGCAGTGGCACATGCCTGGCGCGTGTTGTAATGATAATATTATCTGATGATTAGGGTGCCATTCAGTTGAAGAGAGGACACACTTCTGATATTATCAGGACACAGTTTCCAGCAGAGATGTCTTACTTCAGAGCCTTGTAACACCGGCTTCAAAGCCTGCTGATGTGACTAGAAAGATGCCTAGGATTTTCTATGGACTTTGGGATGGGATTTTTTATTTCTTTTCTGTATGCAAAATGACTTGTGTTCAAGACTCCTCCAGAACAACTTTGACAATTCTAAGCAAATCTTAAACACTGAGAATTTTGGATATCTTCTGCTGAAGTCTTGGTGGAGGAGTTTCAGCATGCACATACACATTTGCCCACCTGAATTGCACTTGTTCTACCTTGACTAAATTTCTTTTTAACTAGCAAAACTTTTGAATGTTTGTTCATAGCTAATCAACTTGCGGACATAAGTTGCTCAAGTCATGATTAATCACATAGAGCTTTTTCTGTAATGCTGGTGACAAGAACAGTGCTACAGCCCTTTGGTTTGTCAGGGGCCAACAGCCAATGAGTTTGATGTTTCTTCATTATTTTATGAGTAGCCAGATGAATTTTATCACCAGAAGAGTCCTCACAAATGGAACTTCCTAAATATCCCAAAGATGACACTCTGAATAAGGGATGAACCCCAAATGCCCCCATGGCCTGAGGCACAGACAGAGGGAGAACAAGACCTCAGATCTGGGCAGTCTTCCAGCATTGCTAGTTGTCCTCTCCCCACCTGCATCCCTCTTGGAGCAGCGCTTGGCTCCAGGACCTGCAGCCTCCTTTGCAGACCTGCCCGATCACCCTGGACCTCGGGAAGCCAAACCCCGTGATAACAGGGCAGCACAAGTCACCTTAAGCCTAGCGCTAGAAATGGCCATTTTTGACCACATCACGCCCCCTTTTGGAGACCTGCCACCAGGAGGAGAGCTGGCCCAGGCCCATCTCCTGGGATGAGGTCTGGCAGAGAGCGAAGCAGGAGCTGCTGGCAGTGCCCGGGCTGTCCCACACACGGGAGTTTCCAGGCTCCTGTGGAGTTTATGTGAGCGGGATGCACCCTGTACCCAAACAGGCAAGGGGAAGCCCAGCCCCAGCATCACATCTCATGTTATAAAGCCGAGCAGACCCTTCTGGACAGACTACTATTTTTTCCCCCTTTGCACTATGCTTAAAGATCTAAAGACTCTGACAGCCCTGGCTGTGTCATCTGCATGGACACGGGCAAAAGGCAAATATTCCCCCCATTCCTCATAAGTTCCCATCAATTTATCTCACCTGTTACCAGAAGGGGCTAACTGTAATGTTGAAAAGGGAGATTACTGTGTAAAATAGTGGGGCATGAAAGAAAGAACACTTGTCTGTATACCTCTCTGTTCAGGAAAAAGCTGAGATTTTCTGCAGATTAGCTAAATGCTGTCAGAACCTTGATTTAAATAATATTGACTCAGCCTGCAAAGAGCCTGTAAAGATTCAAGATTAATTCAAAGTTTTTACATTGCTTAAAAAAAAAAAAAAAAAAAAAAAAAAACCCAGAAATGATCAAGTAGCCCTTGTGCTTTCATAGGTTGATGTTTACCCAGCCTTGTGAGCAGGCATTGTATGTTTAAAGTGACATTGAATCCTTAGTGTCATCACCTTCAGTATCCAATTATTTTGCCATTAATCACTGCCCCTACCCCATTATTCCGAGAGTGCTTAGCTTAATGCAAAACACATCCTCTCGCCTCAAATTCCCTTCCCAAGAAATCAGCTTTGGGCTGCCTGTCCTTGAAGACTTGTTTCCACTTTGTGAATTGGATGGATGCAGAGCAAATTTTGGCTAACAGGCTGCTTCCCCCGGCAGGATCAGCAACTTAGGAGGCATCTCTGCAACCTTCCTGTGCTATGTGTCAACTTACATATCCTGCAGAGAAGGTCCTTGCCCAGGAAGCTGGTGAATACCCAAGATAAGACACTAAAAGGACCAAGGTGCCACATACGACCTCTATTTGTTCTCTTCTCATACCTAGTACCCCGGGAATGCAGGTGCATTTTACACTAATGATCGGCTTTTTTCTACATAAAAAGAGACTGCAAGCTGGTACCTCGATGAGCAAGCCCACAAGGATGGATTATTGTCTTATCAAGGCTTTTTTTTTTTTTTTTTTTGAGCTGATCTGTATAATTTTCCCTTTTCACCTTAGAAGTGTATTAAACCACAGCAGAAAAAAAAAATAAAAAACAAACTTCCTTTTCCTCAGACAATTCTTCCCTGTCATCATCAAGACATTTTTAGAACCATAGGTAAATGCCAGGGCAGCGCTGTCATCTCTGAACATGTGTATTTGTGCACCCACAGACACACACACACAACTAATCAACTTTTCTCTCTGTCCCAGCCTGTTTATTCCCTAATGCTAATTTAGACTTGTCCAATGCACGTTAAATGTCCTCTCAGGGAAGAAGCTGAGTGAGGGGGCTGTCCTCGATAAGCAGTACTTCCTAAACAGTGTCCTTCACTAACAGCGATGCAAAAAGAAATTAATATAGAATGAGTCAGATCCCTCCTGTGATGCTGTCCAAGAATGTTGTCATTTCACTCGTGCCCTGCCTAGCAAAGCAGTGTTTCTTCCTCAAAACAAATACCCAGAATACCTCAACCCATTGCTCTTTCTGTCTGTCTTATTTTCTTCCATTCACAAAAATTAAATACACTGTTTTCTCTTAAGGATGTAGGAAACTGCATTTGGTTATCATTCACAGGGAGGAGACTGAGCTGCAAATCTCTCTGTTGAGGGAAATAAGAAGTATTTATATACTATATATTTTTATATATATATAAAGATATTGACATTAAAAAAATGGATAGAGTTAGTAGATTTGATTTCCATTCCCTCTCACTGTACTCTGTTTAATCTGATTTTTTTTTTTATGGATGGCAATATTGATTTATTTTGCTTACCTGCTTCCCCATGGCCAGAAATAAAATATTCCAAGAATACAATCAGCATGATGCCTTTATGCTGCATGGCTCTCAGTGAAATATCTGTCCTCAGTGAAGCACAAAAAAAAAAAAAAAAAAAAAAAAAAAGCTGAAGAAATCTACAGGTTTGGTGCTTGCATTGCTTTCCTATATGTTCTTTCTTTCTCTCTGCTCACCTTCCTCTCGGCGCAGGGCTCAGCGCTGCTGTCTCATTCTTCTTGGTTTTGTTTGGGTCCGGAGGTGGCTTTTTTTTTTTTTTTTTTTTTTTTTTCCAGGGATAAAGATGCCTTCTGGGTGTCACCCGTACATCGCTCCCAATAAATAAATAAATAACGGAGCTTTACCCCTCTTCAAGCAGCAGGCGGGGGACGTTCACATCCTCGGCGCGGCGCCGTGAGTGCAGCATCGAGCGCGGCTGCGGAGCGGAGAGCGCTGCGCGGGCGGCTCCCTTCGGGGGCTCTTCCCAAACTTCGCGTCCTGCTCGTTGCTCCCGGCGGGACCGCGGTTTTGCCTGGCCCGGGGGGGCTGCCCGGGGTGGGTGCTGCGCGTTGCGGGGCGCGATCCCCGCGTCGCCCCCGGGCCCCGCTCCGCTCGCTGCGCGCGGGGCGGCCCCGCTGGCTGCGCTCGCCGCGGGATGCGGGCAGGGAAAAAAAAAAAAAAAAGTGACTTCTTGGCTCCTCGCTCGTTTTATTTTGTTTGCGTTTATTTCACCGTATTTCCCTCCTCCCTCCTCTGCCACGGAAGCCGCTTCTGCCCCCGCTCAGGGATTTGCTCCACACGGCGGGCGCCGGGGGACAGCGGTGAAAAACAAACCGAGCGCCGGGAGCGGGAGCGCCGGGAGCGCCGGGAGCGCCGGGAGCGCCGGGAGCGGGGCCGGGGCTCCGGCGGGGTCCCTCCCGCCGCTGCCGCCCGTGCCCGGCCGCTCGCCTAGCTCCAAGTTCTGCTCTCCCTCTCTTGCCGCCTCTAGCACATCTCGCAGCCCGAAGCGGGCCGTTTCTCCTCCCTGGTGCTGTCTGGTTTGCAAAGGGGATTATTATAACATGTGATCTTCTTCCTGTGCCGCTTTATATGTGCTTTTTTTTTTTTTTTTTTAGCGGGCAGGAGGAGGAGGGGGCTGGCTCGGTTCCGCACCTCCTGTCAGCTGGGCTGCTCGCTGCTGCTCTCCGATGCAGGCGTTGTTTTCCAGGCGCATCTTCCCCTCCAGGAGCCGGTCTGGCTGCGTGTCCGTGTGTCCGTGCGCAGGGCCCGGCAGCACCCTCTGCCAGGCGGCCGGCACATGGCAGCAGGGCCCCCCCAAAACACGGCGCTTTGCGGACTCTGTGGATTGCAAGGTGCTCACCTGGGCACACACGGGGGTTTTTCTTCCATAATCACTCACAGAGGTGAGCTGGGATGTGCCAGAGACTTCCAACTTGCCAGGGAAGTTGGGGAATGTCCTGGAGGGTGCCCAGCACTGTGGAAACACCTGCCTGTCCCAAAGACCTACCCGGCACTGAGCATGGTCCTGCAGACAGGTTTGCCCAGAGGCTTCTCCAGCACAGAGCTCCTGGTGACCCAGGGTCCAGTGTAGACATCACCATGTGGAAGTGCTGGGTCCCAGGAATAATTTAATTCAGGGAATGAATTCCCTCCCTGGCTCCATTCTCTCTTCCTTCAGCTTTTAAGGCAGCATAATGCCACCAACTCGTGGCTGATGTTGCAGAGGGAAGCAGGTCCGACGGGGTTCCAAATGAAGGTTATTCCTGTGCCCACATGTGGAAGGGAATAGACCTTAGGGGGATATGGAGGATGCAGGTCTTACAAGGAAAGATTTATTTCTCTGTAGATTGGGATTTTGATGTACAGGTGTGGATTTTGATGCATTTAGTTATGCTTTGGCATAGAATTTTCTCACTTCATACTTATATCTTCTCTTCTTCATATGTTTTTAATAGGAAAGCCCAATAGAAGCATTTAAAATATAACGAAGATTTTTCCTCCCTCTTTCTTTTGTATTTGTCTTTTGTTCAAGAACAGCTAAAACACTGTATAATTGCAAAACAACATTCTCCTGCCAGAGATGCCAATCAGCATCCTTCAGAGGATTCGAGTCTGCCGCGTGCCCTGCTCTCCTGGGACATTGGGAGTCTTTCAACTCAAGCATCTCCAGTGGGAGCTGGGGATGTGCAGCATGTCCTAGAGCTAAAGCCAACACGACATTAATGAGATGCTGTCATTTAATAACCAGGCTTTGTTGTCACTGCTTGTTGATTGATGCCTTGTGGAAAAATGTGGTGGTATTTTTTTTACTTTTATTCTAAAGGTTTTAGGCTTGTTCCTAACTGAAATGTTTCTCCCAGTTAATTTCACCAGTCTTAAACAGTGGCACCTGAGAACAATCCACTCCTGTGAGTTGTAGTTCAGCGGATGTAATGAAGAACAAGAAGCGGTGGTATAACTTAAAGAGCAGCTCAAAGCAGAGAACAAAGTGCATGTTGCAGTTTAAGTGGAAAGTCAGTGTTAAGCTTATTCATTTAGTTGCAATGTCTGGACAACAGTAGCATAAGATTTTGCAGTAGGATATAAAGTGACGTAGAGCTGAAAACCTTAATTTCCCCTCCCTGTTTTTCCTGCCTTCACTGCCTTTCCTGCCAGTGCTGATGAGGCTGCTAGGTTTCCTGTTTAATTCTGTTAAAATCGAGGCACTCCTGTGAGCTGAGCTAGCAACTATGGGTTGGCAACAGCGATTTTCTATGTGACGCACTGGTCAGATCTGAGGGACAGCCAGTACCTAGAGGTATCAAACGTGAATGCCCATCACAATGGAACAGCGTGTCTGGATAGTGCCCTGACTCACGGTGAGTAACTTCAGTCAGTCCTGACCTGCAGAGATGCAGAGGTCTTGTGGTCCCAGCAAGGCTCAGGCCCAGCACTCTCATTAGCCCATGGGGGAAATGAGCTGTTCTGGGATGTGAGTGACTTTCTCCAGCGTTAACTCAGCACCGGCTGACAAAACACCTAGAAAATAAACAGCAAAACTGTGAATCATTCATTTTGGGGGAGGAAGGGCGAGCCAATGGCACGGCCGGGAGCGGGGAGGTGTGTCACCGGGCCACCTGCCCTGGGTGCCTTGCAGCCTGTTTGCAGAAGCCAGGGGACGGGCTGTGCTCTTTGAGACCCGTCGGAGCCGAGGCCCATCTCCAGCGCTCGGCAGGAGCTGCTCTGCACGCATCGTCCCCTCATCCTCGTGCCTCTCCAGTTTGCCTTTCCGTTCCTCTCCGTAATTCCCTAGCAGCTATGAGCAGCCTGAAGGCAATCTGTCATGGTCTTCCTCTCCACCCCTTGCCCGCAAACAGAGGTCGGAGGAAAGGAGTCCCCCATGCGCCGGTGCGAACCCCTCAGCTCACTGCTCAGGAGGAAAAGGTAACACGGCCTCTCCCAGGGCCTCACTGCGCTTCCTTCCAGATAAATGCAGCTCAGAGCAGCGGGCCTGATTTCCTCGAGTGCTTTTCTGGAGATGGACTTAGCTTTGTGGCAAATGCATTTCCTTTTCTTTTATAATTTCGCTGCATAATGGGACAAAGTAGTGGGAAGTGCTCCGCCTTTTTGCTTGTTTTCTTTCTCTGTGGATGTAAGCAGGTTGATATGAGGGGGATTTGCTGCACGACAGATTCCATGCCTTTAAATGGCTGCACGAGAAGCTTTAGACTCGGGTGCTGTCAATCCAGCATCATCCCTTGGAGATGTAATTAGGAATGCTGTCACAAAACGCTGCATATTAATGGGAGTGAAAGCTTGCCCCTCAAATACAGAGAACACAAAATGTAGAGAATCAAAATCTTTGTGCAAACCAGGCACACGTACATGTATTTGCCTCAAAGATGCAAAGATAATTTATTTTAAACTCTAGTCTGATTTTTTTTTCTGGAATTTAGGCAAGTTTGTAAGAAGTTGGGTTAATTATTTGTCTTTAGTTGTGTAACTTTTCCTATGTCTTTTTGTTTGAATTGTCTACGTGAGCACTGAAGTAATCATTACATTTTTTCATGTTAGCATTTAAAAAGAAACTTGCAGCAGAAAATAATTGGATGGGTGGAGATCCTTAGGAATTTTGTGTGGGAGAAGAAAAGGTGAGTTCCTTGGTTGGAAAGTCTGTGCTTCATCATATATAACCTAAGTTATAATGTGACATTCTGGTCAGTACACGGAGGTACTTTCCCCACTAAAAAGTTGCTCCCAACTTCCTTGCTTTTCATGGGAGTTCCCCACTGGCACGAGCAGCCAAATTCTTTCCAAGTCCTTTTCCACAAGCAAAGAAGAGCCCAGGCAAAGCGTGAGAAGGGGAACAGCCGTGAGACATCCAAGGGGGGCTTCTTGTAGCACCAGGCAGCGCTCACGGCTGAGACCGTCTATGGGGACGTGTGGAAGTGTGGCCAAGTGTGCAGAGGACACCGTGGTGACGGCTGTGAGGAAAAAGGAGCAGGGAATGAGCTGCTGGCTCTGATGCCAGATCCTCTTCTCTACCTGGGAAGAGGAGGCAGTGGCAAAGCCCTCACACTGTGTATAGAAACTGCAGTAGTTTCTGCCTCCTGTAATTGCTGCAAGGAGAGAGCTGCTGCACGGGTCCCAGTCCCAGGCTACTGTCTGCCATCCTACCCTCATCTCCCCTTCCACATGTGATAAAAGGTCATTCATGCTGGTTGTTTTTTAGTAGCCTGTTAAAAGATTTTAAAGCTTCCTTTCTGATTTATGTTACTCTTAATCTTCTACCTCAAACTCTTAACAGGTTTAGAGGCTCAGCTAGTATTTATTTTGTATCTGAAAGGCCCAATCTCTTCTTTTTATGAGGTGTTCTGCACTTAGAAAAGTGTTTCTTTTTGCAAGATTGTGTTTAAGCTTTGAGAGAAGCTTCCACATACTGTCAGCAGTGCAGTGCAGACTTGTCTTGCCATATGACACTGCATTCATTTTCTAATTAAAGAGCTCTTGGGAAGCCTTGACAGCAGTCAATGGTGCTTCACTAGTTCATTTTGGTAAGGATCTGTCTCTCTGTTCACCTCCCTTCATTTGAATTTTACTCTTTTTTTACAGTAGTAAACCTTCACACCACCAATATATTATTTTTTGGGGCCCCCTATAAATGAGATTTATCAAGGTCTGTGTGTTTTGGCACCTGCTGAAGAGATATAATTCTTCCTATCATACCAGCTTTAATCTCTTTGGATAAATCAAATTATTTCTCAGAACTGATCTTGTTTATACACTGCCCGAGTCCTCATCCTTCTTCATTCTTCACCTGGGGCTTGTAACAGCTACATCTTCTCTCTCTCCCTTCCCAGATCAGGAAATACTAACTTCTTGTATCTCAGCATCTGTGTCTCAATATAAATAAGTTTCAGATGAAATACCCTGAAAATCTCATGCTTGGTGTGTCCTTTGCAAAACGAGGACATAACATATTCATTGACCTTCCAGTTAAGCTGGCACAACTTGGGAAATATACTTGCTTTAAGTCCAATGATGTTATAGCTTTCTTGCCACCCCCTCACAACAACAACAACAACAACAACAACAACAACAACAACAACAACAACAACAACAACAACAACAACAACATCATCATCATCATCATCATTTGTTGCTAATTTATTTTACTTTGTGTTCTCATGGTATCTGAGCCCTGAGGCCACTAATAGGCCTTTAACAAGCCCAATCAGCCTCACTTGGGGCTTCCACCTATGCTATGGGCCCAGGGACTCCATTTAAGCTCAGTCTTAGGCTTTTCTTTCTGAGCTATGTGGTAGGAATACTGGCTTCTAGCTCAGCTATAGTTCTTTGTGGCCATAGACCTTGTTGATCTGGACCCTAGGCTTTCTTCTCAGGGTGACCTTAGACTTTCCTTGTCTCTGTGAACTGGCCTGGTGATCTCTGGACTGTGTCTGACTGCTTATTGTCACCAGACCTGATCATGACTCGTGTTCTTGGCTTCAGCTTTGACCTGCCTCATCACCCCAACCTTGCCTGGTGATCTGGATTCTTGGTTGAAGCTGGCTGTTGCTCCTGGCCTTTCCTACACTGCTCTGCTCTCCTTGCTGTGGGATGGGGCCCTGGCTGGTGAGACCTCTGCCCTTCTGCCTGTTTTGTCTTGGCTCTGCATTTGTTAGCTATGCTGGCTGCTTCATGACATCCTGGTATAAAGAGCTAAAAATCATAGCTGGAAGTATTGTGAGGCTGTATAATACCTGAAGATCCTGTTGGTGTTACTGATGAAGAAGGAGGACTTTTGCCCTTGATGACTGCTTTACCCAACTGGAAATGAAGCCACTTTCAAAAAGCTTATACATGGATTGGGAAGGTCAGGTACTAGCTCGTCTTTTATAATGCTGTGGTAAAGAAATGAACTTTCACAGTCAATGGTGCGTTTATAGGGATGGCTCATCAGAAGTGACCCTTCTTCCTTGTGAAGTGGTCTGAACTGAGACCTGTCTAGGGAAAATAATAGATGAAATAGCAATCTCTTACAGTTGCTGCTTAGGGAATAGTTCCATTAATGATTTGGGATCTGGCTATCACCAGATGTAAAACAGATGGAAGGCAAACAATATCTTCACTGGGAAAAGACAGGAGAGCTAATATGTGGACAGTTGAACTGATCGCTTGCTCTTTGTGTTTTACTTTCCCCTTAGTAAAATGGTAGACTGCAGAACTTGATATTTATAAAGTGTCTTAAGATCCTTAAATTGGAAGTCCTGGTGTTGTTTGGGAAGAAAATGAACGCCATTCACTTTGAAGAGGCACCAGCTCTTCAACAAGAACCAATTAACAAGAGGCTGATTTGATTTCTCAAGAGACTCCCGTGACAAAGATACAGTTGATTGACTGAAGCAGAGTTTCATGGACTCTTTTGACTACCTCATGTTGATGAGTTGATGTTGATGAGTTCTGACTCTTGATTCAACGGCAGCAGGATCATGTTTTGCTGTTTGAATGCCATTAAGTACAAAAAGACAGTCTACTAGTGAGAGCTTAACCATGAGAGAAGCATTAGATGCACTTGGCAGATCTGAGAGGAAGACTCGGCACCAAATACCTGCATTGTGCTGAGCTGAATCGGGGACTCTCAAAATGACCAAACAGGTTTAGGACTATAATCACCATTGATTTTTCAAATTCCATTGAACTCTGAACCTGATTTTTAGAGATACTAAGAGCATGTAGCTTAAGCTGCTGTGAGAGGAAGCTTAAAAACAAGAGTAACACCTTGTGGATATCAGACCCAGAATGTCTAAAATTTGCCCTGTATAAAGGTTAGGTTAAAATTTATTATGGTTCTTTAATGAAATATAAAAAACAGTTGGCCTTGTTTTTCCTTTCTGCAAAAACATGATGATCAGTCTATTTAAATACAGTCCTTGAGTGCATTTCTGAGGTTATTATACAGTTTGATTTAATAATGAATACAGAAAATTAATCTAGATACATGTAGCAATTCCCTCTTCATAAACCTGATAGGCTCCATCTAACCATTTAAGGGTTCTGCCTCTCCTATTAAGAGGCTCTTTCAGAACCTTATATTTAAATTCTTCTAATTTGAAAACTGCTCCTTCATGGCTAATTAATAGCTATTTATTCCTCTTCCCGCATTTCCCTGAAGTGCCTTCCTGCTTTGACATTTATCCTGCAGCGAGACAGCAATCAAATGCCACCTTTGTTCTTCTAGGCTAAACAAGCCATTGTCTTAGACCCTTTTTATAACATCAGCTCTCTATTGTCTACACCGCCCAGGAGCCCTTCCTGCCCTTCACGTAGCATCAGAATTCATGTTTCTTTAATGCTTGAATCATCAAAATTCAGGCTTCTGTTAACACGGAACACTAACAGGGCAGAGGCTCTGGTTAAGTGAATTTGTTTGAAAATGCAACCAGATTTTGCTTGCACTTATTTTTAAGGTAAATATGAAAATTCGTTATAATACAAAAAATACTGGTCAAAGCTTGGGTGATCTTTACCATATTGGAAACAAAAATGTTTTCATCCAGGTTGTTTTCTGTGCTTCTTATAGGTGTCCAAAATGCCAAATGGGGCGACATTTTTTCATTTCAAAAGATGACACTTGTTCCTTTTGTAGAACTTGATTTTGCTCTTGCAGGGGATGTAGCACTGCATTTTCTAGTCTGGTAAATAGGTTTTTTCCCCCTTGTCATTCTCTGTGTGAAGTTTACAAGTCTGATGCTCATGTGGTGTCAATCAACATAGTTTCACTGATCCAAAACTATTTGACCTATGTGTGTTCAGTAGTGAGTATGTCAACAAGAACACTCGGGCAGTAGGGTAGAAACACTGTTATGGCCTCTCGAAGTTAAGTGGCACGGGCAGTCTCTGATGATAAAGTAACTGGAGGACTCTGACCATGAGGTCCAAACCATACCATCTATAAAATCTACAAAAGGTTTATTCCTGAGCCAAAACAAGGAATTTGTAGAGTTTATTGGGACTTTTAGCCAGGGCATTTTCTTCTCTCAGAGCAATAAAGATAGTAAAGGTGACAAAACTCGGGGGATCTAGATGCCTTTTCTCTAATCTTATTATCACATTTTTGGTATTACAAGAAATACCTTTATTCCCTGCAGGAAAATCTTGCTTCCATGACTCTCTGAGCTGCCAACAGCAGGTGCTTCAAGCCTGGGAATATCAGCCCTCTTCAAATCTGGGTTTTCCTGGTTAGACTCTTAGCAGATCTAGAAGCAAACTTGTTTTCTTTCTGCCCTCACTCAATACTTAGAAATCAGCTTAGTGAAGCTGTGAAGTTTTGTGTCCTTTGTGAGTCTCTTCAACTGAGAGTTGTTTAATTATTGCTGCCATTTGTAGGGCAATCTGCAGGATCATTTAATATTTTTGCATGCAATTGGCTTTCTTAAAGATTACAAAATCTTTATGCTCATTATGGTTTTAAACAAATGGAACATGAAATATGCAGCCACGACTGTTACTAAGGATTGTGATTTATTTATGGTTTCTTTCGTCCCAAAGGACACACTGTACTTTGCAAATTGTGGGTAATGTCTTTGAAAGCAGTAGAGAGTATAAACCTCTTAGTATCATTTAGTTCAGTGCTTACTGAACTAAATCAGTGCTTACTACTCACTTTACCTAATTTAGAATTGATGCATGTAGCTTCAGTAAGTGTCAACTACTATCTTCTGCAATATATTAGAATGCTAAATGTGGCGTGTCTTTGTATTTATCTATATCTATATATAAAACTTTGCCCCAAAACATCTTAATCTGGGACCAACTTATATAATTGATGGCCAAGATCCCTTACTTGAATGAAATGTACAGTAGGGTCTTCAATATCTCTAGCAGTTCAGGCTCTCAGATTAACGATAGTTGAACAATATTTTTCTTGGTAGTTCAGTGCCCCCTAGCACTGTGAGAGAGAATTTGTCCCTTTCTGATCTATAGGATTGAGTGCTACCTAATAAACCTCCAAAAACTCTCACAGCCACCCCGTACTCAGCTGTAAATTTGATTTACAAGGGAAGATGCAGATGGAGACATTTCGAGAGTGAAGAAGGAATGGTGGCTCCTCCAGTATGAGCTTGGCCTGTAAAAGTCAGGACTATGTTATCCTGGGCAGGCTTCCAGATGATTCTGCTGAAAGCTCAGGTCCATCTGCTTACCTCCATTTCTCTTGTTTTCTGTGTTTGTGTGTCACCTGGTTTTTCTTTTGGCAGCTGGCTTTGCGTAATGCCTTGCGTTATTTCCCACCCGAAATACAAAGGATACTAGCAGCGGAATTTGCCGAGGAACTCAGGCTGTATGGACATATATATATGTACAGATTCTATCCAGATATTGAGATGAGGTAAGGACTACAGCATTCACAGTTTGTTGCATTGCACCTCCCATATTTCTCCTAACTAGCTGTATCTTTGAGAGTTTCTTTGGCACTGAAATTCCAACTTTTTTTTCCCTTGGATAGAATCTTAAATAGTAAGGTTTCTGAGCCTACAAGCAACTTATATTGCTAAAGTTTTCCTTGGTGTTGCAGGATGTGGCTGCTCATCCTGGCAGTTGGGATACAGAGACCAATTCTCCGAATAATCCAGGCTAGGAGGCAGAGAGAAGTCATGGCCACCATATTTATGAGCACTTGTGATTAAATGACTTGGCAAAGGATAGGCAGAATCCAATTTCTTTCTTAGTTTTCTTTGCTTAGTTCTGGTAGTTGAAACCCGATTTGCTTGTACACATCATTTCAGATTTGCACTTTCTCCTTTTAGTTTCTTCCCTTCTGAAGAAAAATTCCTGTAACTGGAGGCAATTTGGCATTCAGAGATTTCTGTGTGATATTTTCTTGTTGTCTTTATCTGTGAGTTGAAGTGTCTTTCTCAAGCTTGGTGGATACTCTTGCAGGGCGTATCCCATAGAAGAATATCCTTGCAAGACCAAATCAGCTGCTGCTATTATGCTGATGATCATGAATAATCTGGATCCCTCGGTGGCTCAGGTAAGGCACAGTGAAAATGAGAAAGCTGGAAAGCATTCACATTAATAGAAGCAAGCCTGCAAATTATTTCCTGCATGTGTTTATATAAAAATTAAAAGTTCAGGCAAAAGGGGTGAAATTAATCTGCGCAGATGATTCTCCCTCAACTTTGAACAGGTTTTTAGTTGTTCATTAGCCTTTTGCTAGTTCTGTGCCACATCTCCTATATGGAGAGTAGGGTGGTCACTTCTGAGGCTAGACCCAAAGGGACTAATGTGCAGTTATGCATCTCTTGCACTCTTCTTAGGGCTATGCTGATTCCTTGTATTAAGTTCTTAGATTTGCTTCTGTACATGGATTTAATTCTGCACTGTGGACCCTGGTCCTGGCTCTGACTTTAAAGACCTCCTTTAATGCCAATGAAATGTCTTCAGCTCCCATTAGGTATGAGAGCTTGGTCACTGCTTGTGCAATAAGTAGAGTTCAGCTCTTGGTGTGTAGCTTCTACCTCATATATTGAAAAAAAATGATGTTGATGCTTTCTACAGCTTTGCAAGCTCATTTCTCAAGGACAGATTTACTAGAGGGTTACATCTACAGGGTATTAATGCAATAAGCTGTAGAAAAGATCTGTAACGGAGATTTTTATTTTTCAAATGACAGGATATATTCTGAAACATTTCCAGAAATTCCTTCGCTATAATATTGTTGAATTCCTTTTCTCAGTTTCCCCAGGAACTTGTCACTTATGGAGGAAATGGTCAGGTCTTCAGCAACTGGGCGCAGGTAGGACACAGCTACTTTGGTAACTCGTTTCATAAAACCCGTTTCACCCTCCCCCAAGCACGTTCTGCTTAGGCAGAGTTTGTGACAATTCTTGGCAGTCATTGTCTCAAAATACTCCAAAACATCCTGTCTGGATAGATGAATGCTCGGTTATGAACTGCATAGATGGGGAGAGCTTTATTTAGTAAGAAGAGCACAGACAGGCCGGTAGAAATATTGCAGTTTAAAGTATCAAGCTGTGTATGATGATAGGAAGAACAGGGGTTTGATTTTGTTTTGTTTTTCCTGCTGCCTTTGTATGAGCCTCTGTTTCACAGAAAAATTTTGAGAGGCAAACTGAATGCCAGAAAACAAAATACGTCTTTTGTTTGCTTGTTTCTGGTATTTTTGCAAAGTATTTCACAAGTAATGGAATAAATAATACAGATTTTCTTTAAGAAAGGGCAAAGGAGTTTGATTTAAGATTTTTATCCTGAGTCACCTTCCAATCTATCATAAATTCGCTGTGAATGTTCAGGTACTACCTGGTCAGATCTTAGTGCACTTTGCTTTCAGATCTAAGGATGTTACCTCTGATCTCTGGTGGGTAAAGTCCTGTCTAAATCCGACAAATGGAGAGGGGCAATGGATTTTGCAGTGGGACAGATGTGGCAGATATCCCACAGATATCTGTGGGACAGTTATGGCACAGGAGGAAAGGAGCATCAACCTGAAGGACAGTGTCATGCCTCAAGGCTGGAAAGACCCTCAGCTCTTCAGGTTGAATAACCAAAAGCTGATCTGCAGTGTGAGCTTCAGTCCAGAGGGGTGTTCCATAGACCTTATTGTATCTTTCCCAAAATTTGACTTCTTGGCCATTAAAAAAATGCAAGCAAGTGTAACTTGTGAATGATGTTCTGACTTAGGGAGAAGTAATGAATTTCTGACTTTAGCACAGGACTGAGACCTGATTTTCTTCCCCATTGGACTGCTGTTCATCTGTGGCCAAGGCCTTGCTTAAGCCTCAGTTTCCTAATCTGTTAAATTAAAGTGAAATGGAAATCTTGGGTGATTTTTTCAGGCAAAACTCAAACTCAACTTCTGTCTCTTTCAAAGAGGTACCATGGCAATGCACAACACTTCTTTACCCTGTGCATTGATCAGTTAATCAATGCATGAAGGATTTACAGCAGCCTGCATGTGAGCAATACCAGCATCTCCTATAGTAGCATTAATATGCTGACATCCCTTAGGCAGATGTTTCACTACGAAGTGAAATGGAAGCACTGCCAAGCTCAGAAATAGCCTGCCTTTTCCCTTGTTCTCACTGAGGTTAAAGGGAGCTGCGACCTGCTTTAGTTTTGCAGCGGAGCAAACAATACCTTTTTGTTTCTGGTTACTTAGCGGAGCAACCACATGAATGATTCCGTTATGGTGGAACGTCTTGTTCTTTGTTTATGCCTCAAACAACACACTTTTCGTCAGTTTATGTCATTGCAAAATAACTGAGGAAAATGTGGAGTTTCTTCCCCGAAGCCCTGTGCCTGCTTCTGAATGGTTTTCTAAATGACGGTGGCTAGAGCTACATTTCCCCCTTACCAACTTTGTCAGCCTCAAGGCAACAGAACTGTCTTGTACAGTTCTTTGATCTAGGAAAGGCAGGCAAGGTCTTCTTTCTTTAATTATCTGAAAATTGGTTTGTTGTGCATAAAATGCAGCAAGATCTAACTGACTTTCAGGTTTTTCTATTGTTGCACTTTTTCCCCAGTTTGCTAAATTCAGTCTGTTATCTTCTCTGTCCCAGGACAAGAATTGCACTAGTCAACACTTCTCATGAAACAAAACCAAATCAAAAAAAAAAAAGTGACTCTTTCCTACCTGAATTAGCTTGTTAAGCTCAGCTTGGAAATTTGTCAGGAGGAACTGGCTTCAAATAGCAGGGAATGCTGGGCTTTGTAATAGACAGTAATGCATGTGAGCTGATTCTGCAGGCAGTTTAGAATGTCAAATTCTACTTTTTGGTGTAGCTTGAGTAATATCTATTTTGAGTGCCATATCCGATGGTTAACATCACGATAAAATTAGAGTAGCTCTAAAATGATGCATTAAAAGGCTAGCAGAGCGTTTCTGGGGTTTGTACTGGAGAAAGTGTTCTTAAGCTTATTCACACCATTGCTAGTCAGTGGAGGTTGGACTCAATGATCTCTAGAGGTCCCTTCCAAGCTTAACTATTCTATGATTAATGTTTCATGTTAAATGATGTCTCTTAATAGACTTTGTTAAAAGCAAGAATGGGATGAGAGCTTTGGCTGCTTGTATTCCAGATACAGCTACACCTTGTTATCTCTATAGCTGCCTTCTGCACTCAAAGCTTGTGAGATTGCTGAAGAAACATCAATGTGAGATAGAAATGGGTTCTCTCTTTCAGTTCTGGTTGGTCATGCACTATTTGTCTGAGATGACCGAAGAGCAAACATTGGTGATGTACAGCGGGCATCCTCTGGGACTCTTTCCCAGCCATCAGTCTGCTCCTCGATTGATCATTACTAATGGCATGGTAGGTATTAATCTTGCTTTCTCTTTTTCTTTCTTTTCTGCTTGGTTTCAAGTGTTTGCTCAGTTGAGACATTAGTGGTGCAATCTGAACTTAGGAAAGCATACAGGAGAACCTCTGATCCAAATTCTGCACTGCTTTTTTCCAATACAGTCCCCCTTACCTCAAGTGTGTTGAACTTCAGGGATGGAAGGAATGAACAACAACTATTTTGTCTGAGTCCAAGCTGCATACGCTCCTGACTAAAACAGTTCAGTCAGGTTCAATTTGGGGCATATAAAAGCCCTCAATAGGCAAACTGATGATTATTGATCAGATGCTCAGATATCTGGACTGCTTTATTCTGAAGGCAAGTTGGACAATTGGATCTAACGGTTCCTTTCCAGGCTCCTTGTCCATTCACTTTTCATTTCACTGGACTCGTCTTGAGCATAGAAATATGCTTTCCTCAAAACTTGCATGACCATCATATTGCCAGGAAGACCAGACACTTAATTTGTAATACTGGAGTATATGGAATAAAAGACCTGCCTTACTCCTACTCCTTTTCTCTATTTTTCTATATGTGACCATAGTTAGAAAATTTGGCCCATGGAAAATATCTCCTTAAATCTCTAATTTGCTTATCTGATTGTTTTCTTAGGTTATTCCCAACTATTCAACTAGAGATGAATATGAGAAGATGTTTGCTTTGGGAGTAACAATGTAAGATAATACATTGCTATTAAAATATATCAGAACTAAAACGTAATTTAAATATCAGCCACTGCTTGATTAAGATTTCTAGTGCAGAGGAGTTTCAGCCGACCTCCTGATGCTGCAAAGCATTAATGAACACTTAAGTGGAATTACTGAGTATTTCAAGCTGTGTTCAGCCACATATGTAAGGATGTAGTTGAGACTCACTGGACTTGATTAGGTTTATATGTATGTTTTGGCTGAATTACAGCCCAAAGCCTTAATCAAAACCTACTTGCAAGACTGGCTAATTCCCCTTTGCAGAGGTTTTGCTGTAATCTATAGGGAGAATACAAGTTAGTAGAAGCTTCTCTTTGATTATACTAAGACTTTGAGGTAGAAAGTTATATATGTGTATTTTTAAGAATTATTTGCCTCCTATTTTTATTATGCATCTAGTTGATGAACAGAGGGTTGCGTACCATGGAGAGAGTCAGTAAAAACTACTGGAGATGTGTTCAAGTGAGGAAACCAGAAGTGAAAGGGCATAAGCACAGAATGATGATTGCCACCCTTCTAGGGAATTTAATAGCAGCATGGAGAAAGTTGCTTTTGGGAATGTTACCCCAAAAGCAACTATCTGACTTAGGAAGAGTTCCACTGAAAACTAATTACATAAAGATGCTAGCAATGTGGAGAAGTGTTTCCTTTTGTCCTAGTCACTGTGCTAAATGCCAGCACTAAATTTCCATTTATTCCTTTCATCCATGTAGTTTTGCCAGATGAACTCAGACATATAGAGAGCTAAATGTTACTCTGAAAATGTGTCAGTGAACTTTCTCTCTGAGAAGGAACTCAGCTAAGTTGGGAATTTCATAATATCACATCTTTAATAACAAATATAGGCACAGGACATGATTACTTTTATTATACTGAAGCCATATAGATATATACAGACCTCATTCCATGTGTTTGTTCCTAGGTATGGTCAGATGACTGCAGGGAGCTACTGCTACATTGGGCCCCAGGGGATAGTCCATGGGACTGTGGTAAGAAATTGGGAAAAGATCCATTTGTGCAGAGCTATTGGAGGAGAGTTATCTCCTGGTGCCTGGAGTGGAATGGATTGCTGTGGGCAGGATGCAAAGAAATTCTGTCTACTTCTTCCTTAAATAAATAAACAAGTAGTGTCCTTATCCAGAATCAAAACTTCAAAAAGATATGTAATCAAGGTTTCAATTTGAGCTCATGTCTAGCTACAGCAAATGAAGAATTGAATTGACCAGATGTTCAGGAATAATTCTGCTGCTTCAAACTGTTTGCAGGGGGAATGAAAAGATTATTCAAATATAAAAACCCCAATGCCTTTGAGCACCTCAGGCAGTCCTGCCTGCAAACAGTCATGTGTTTAAAAATATCTATCCAGTATGGAAAATCATTAGGAATGCATAGTGTTAAATGTTTAAATTCCAAGAACTCTAGGAAAATTGCTCAAAATAGCTGCTGTGTTGTGTTGTGTGCAGCTCACGGTGCTGAACGCAGGCCGGCGCTACCTGAAAGTGGAAGACCTGTCTGGAAAGGTGTTTGTTACCTCTGGTCTTGGAGGGATGAGTGGGGCTCAAGCGAAGGCTGCAGTCATTGCTGGGTGCGTGGGGATCATCGCAGAGGTGAGAGCAATGCTCCTTTCCTTCTGTCATCACCATCATATATAGTCTTAAACATCAGTACCATGCCCCTGATAACTATATATGTCTATATGTTTCAAGTGCCTAAACTTGCCTAAAATTAAAGTAACCTTAGGATCTTCTGATATCTATATTTTGCAGCTACAGTATTTATTGCAAGGTTTTATTCTATCAAATGAGATGGAAAATGGCAAAAAAAATATTTCAAAATATTTTTCTGCAATTATCTGACTGTAGCAATGAATATCTTATGTTTTAATGAACTGGATTTCTAGCTACTGAGAAACAAGACTTCCCTGCCTTTTTCCTTCATGCCTTTTTCCATCATGGCAACCTTTTAATCAATACACTGGGACAGCATTTGTGCTAGAGCAGATACAGGAGTGACCAAAATGTGGTGAGCTCTTTGGAGTATCTGTAGCATGAACTCTTCTTACTCCAGAGAACAAGAGATTTTTGACAACCAAGCTGCAGTCAGAGTAGACTCGAGTGGGAGTTCAGCCTTCTCAGCTGAAGTAGCTTTTAAAGAGAATTAGCGGGCAGACCTCTGCTGTAGGCATGTCATTTGCTATAATGAAAGGTGTAAGAATATTGCAGTCTGGCCCGTGGTAATTATAATTAAGCTTCAAAACATTATGGGTCAGACTGCCACGTGGCATGCAGTAAATCTGACCTGCTGTGACTAGCTGAGGTCTTATTCATGGAATGCCAGAATTTCATCCAGTTTGCAACGATGGTGCAAAAGCATTTTTTTGTTAGCACACCGTTAGCTTTGCACGCGTTTGGCATCTCATCAGGTATTCCCTGCTGGTGAAATAAATTTACTCAATTTATTATGGAATAAATTATTATTATTGAGTAAATGGTCTTATCCAGACTTCTACTCTATCGTCATGATCTTCCAAATGCTAGAATACAAAGGAGGGATTCCAGTGAATGGTATTTGCAGCAGCCTTTTGTCCTTTTCATCTCTACGGCTGCAGATGATTTTGTTCAGGAGATTGAATATCGCCTGTTTTTTATCTCCTGTGAGATGATCCTTGTCGGAAATGAGTCTCAGGAACACATGTGGGTAGCTAAATATATGTACATATTATTTACTTAAAGGAACTCTTTATGCAAATGACGCTGATGAATTGTGCAAGAGATGTCATTTTGTCAGCCAGGGCTCCCAAAGCTCAGACAGAAGGATTAATGGTGTGAGTCTCTTACCTCTTCTGTTTGACGTGAAGCGGCGTGTAATTTAAATGAAATCTCTGCGTAGAGGGGCAGGCAGGCTCCTGTGAGCTGTGCTGAGCTCTACGGCGTTACACAGGAGGTGACATTAGTTCACTATGTTTGTGCAGCCTTTTTAAACTACTGAAATATTCGTTTTTTCAAAAAAGGCATTTTTTCTGAAAATGTGATGCAGTAGAAGCTAGCATGGCTGTGAAAGCAGGTCTAAGCCTAGTAAGAGTGGCCTGAATTGGAATATTTAGGAAATGGTGTCAGATTTAAGTCTTATCTTTGCTATTCTGTGCTTTAAATAAACGAAATTCTGATAATTCATACAGACCATTTAATCTTCTCTGCCTGTGTTGATTTAAATAATTCCCAAGGAAGCTGTCTGCCTCCATACCTGACTTCTCAGTGAATAATTCCATTGGCAGTGACATTATCATAACCTGGGGGGTTGGTAGGATAGCCTTTATTAATCATGTAGGAATCGATGGAAGGTTTCTTGTGCTTTGAATTATTGGGAAAGAGGTTTCTTGAACTCCAGGCAACTCTTGAATATGGAACATATTTATTTACATGTTAATTAAACATTTTGGTAGCTTATTACTATCACTTATCATTAGAATCATGAAAAAGTGTTTTTTTTTTAAAAAGGAAAATATCCTATACTATTTTAACAAGAAGTTTCGTTTTGCAAAATGAGTCTCAGAAGGGACAGATCAAAATTTTTTTCTCTTGTCTCACTTCTAGCCTGAAATAATGGAACTGATTAATAACAGAAATGTAAAGTAACATGTGCTCCATCTTTTTAAGGCCAATGCAAGGCTATTCTCTTCACAGATTTGCTACTCTTTCTTTCAGGCTATTTGAAAAAGTGAAAATAAGTCACTGGATGGGAGAAATAGGAGTTTTAAGATTTCTGCCATTTGTTTTAGGTTGATGAAGCAGCACTTTTGAAACGTTACAAGCAAGGGTGGCTGATGGAAATCTCTAATAACCTGGACCACTGCATTGCTCGCCTCAGGTATAACTTGTAACATAATATAGGGACTTTCTCTGCTCTTTAATTCTAATTTGCAATTTTAATGAGCATGGAGGAAGGCCTAAGGGACACATCTTCTTATCCTAGATCTGTTCTTTGATGCAAATCCATCAGTTTTGTCATTATTAGTAGGCAACACCATGACCAGTGCTTATCCTTTGGTTTATAGTATATTAAATGTCTTCCATTTCAGGTATATACATACAGCAATTACAAATAATATTGCACTTGAAGAATTACTCAAGTATTCTGAAATCAAAGATTGACAATTGCATAGAGGTCAAAAGAATATATATCTGTGGATCCAGGGTCTTTGTGTATTTCTTTAGCTTGATAATATCCTTTCAGAACAGGAGATGGTTTTGCTTTATATCTGGAAAATGAAAAGAGGATCAGGCCAAACTATCACAAATTCAGTGCACTAATTTCCTCTATTGTTTTTTCTCCTGATGTATTTTTAAAATGCTCTTCTTTCACAAGGCAACAATAGAGCAGGCTCAGATGAAGCCATCCAAGCAATGCTGCATGGCTGCTCCATGAGGATGTGCACCTGACAGCAAGTGATGCTTAGAAGAGCCTCGCGGTCACATTTTGAGCCTGTGAATTAAAATCATTGCTGATTTTTTTGTATTATGTGAATGGGTAGGCTATGGCTTCCCTTCAGCTTCTATGCAGAGGAGGAGGAAAGAGGCATGCTGTCAAGGAGAAGGAGCAGGCCATCGAGCTCCAGTCTGGAGCAAGAGAGTATCAAAATGTGGAAGGTGGGAGAATCCTCAGGTTGGAGTCTGCTACAGACTGCACCTAAATTCAGTGAGAATTAGATTGTGGTGTTGGTAGCTGGAGCTGCCCTTGTCAGCAGGTAGAGCTTTCAAGGCAGTGCTATGAAACCTTCTACATGGAACCAGGAGCCACTACCCACCTCAAACCCTAGGGTTATATGTCTCTGCCCAAGTTATTGGTGATGTCCCAGAAAATTAAGGGAAGGTAGCAAACTGATTGCTATGAAATTTTTTGGAGATTTCTTTTTCTCAGAAAATGCAAATAATCAATGCCCCTCCATTCTTACTTGCCTTTGCATTGTTTGAATATCTAAACTTCTGTTCAGAGATATTCAAATGAAAGAATGTCTTTTGTTCTAGTGTCAGTTGCCTAGATGAGTGTTTGAAAGTACCTAAAACTTTGTTGTTGTTTACTGTGCATGCGATTTGTGCATTGCAAATTATTTGTGTGATGTATGGTCGTCAACCAGTCTTTTTTTTTTTTATTCTATTTTAGAGATGCAAGAAAAAATAAAATTGCCCTTAGTTTGGGTTACCATGGGAATGTGGTAGATCTGTGGTAAGTTGTAGGTAATTGACATATAAGTGCTTTGCCTTGTTAGCTTGAAATTAGTTCCCAAAATTTGCCATAGAAGAATTCCTAATTTAGTGCTATGTTTATGACTCTAGATGTTCACAAAAAAAAAGAATTATCAAAAGAGGGATATTGTGTCCTGATTCTTTGTTGTTTCCCATGCACATACGCCTTTTTCTCATGGAGCAATGAATATTTTAAGGAAAGAAATCACTCTGATACATTTCTCCGTTTGAGAAGGAATCCCCTTTATCCCCACCTTTGGCTGACTGGATATCAAGAAAATGTCTCTGGCTTTATTGAAGAATAGAAATAATGAAATAGCGGTTGAATAATAACAATCAGATGATGGATAGAAATTCTGGCACTCTTGAGGCTTTGTTGGTAGTTAATCTTGATGTTACCCAATATACCAACAGTTGAGATGGACCAGTATATCTCGTGGTATGTCATACCAGTATATCAGACTTATCTATCAGTGTCCCTGTATAGGGAAATATTTAATATAAAATTTACTAGTCTTTCTAAATTTTTATCATCACTTTCCATCTCTCAACTCCTAAAATAGACTTAGCCTGCCAAGAGCATGCCTTTATAAATAGTGTTTTGGGATGCAGAAGCTTCTCCTTGAAGCGATTGATGTTCACCTGGAAGAACAGGAAAGTGGAACAATTGCTCCTGTTCAAGCCCTCTGTCTTACCTTCCTCCAGGGAGAGGCTCGTGTATGAGCTGGACACAACTGGAGAGCTGCTAGTCGATCTGGGATCTGACCAGACTTCATGTCATAACCCATTCAGCGGCGGATACTACCCGGTTCAACTCAGCTTTGAGGAAGCAAAGCAGCTCCTGTCCACTAGTCCGGGGAAGTTCCGAACTCTGGTACAAGAAAGGTAAATGTTTTAGTGAGAATACTTTTTAACCTTTATAGTCAGTTGCTCTCCAAGTTGATCAGAGTTTTCCTTCCCTTAAGAAGACTCACTGAATCATCGTATTTGGCTCTACTTTTTGATATTTCAGTAGAAGTCTGGGGTAAAACTGTTGTGTTGTTGAAAACTGTTGTGTTTTCACTAATAGCTCAGGTAAAGTTATTTTTTTACTAATAGCCCTTGATTTTGCACGTACATAACTGTTACTTAGAATCTGGTAGAACTGCCTACCCACCATTTCAGGCATAGTCTCTAAGGTATGTGATCTAAGGTCCGAAAACGGGCAATATATTTATCTTCTATAAATTACTAAACTACATTAGGTTTTAAACATGCAGGATAGTAAATATTTGGATGTAATTTTACCTAGCAGTTTAAGTTTACTGATGAGATGACTGCAATCGATGAGCCACAATGTCCATCAGCTTTGGCTAGTAGTAGATCTTTGGGTAAGGATATAAGGAGGAGACAGACTCCTTTCTATTAATTGCCCCATATCTCAACAATTAAGTTCTCTTGATGATTGTAGACCACTTAAGGATTTGGGCATAACAGGTTCTATAGAGAATGGACATATGTTGATATTATGTCTGGATTTCTCTGAGATTTTTCAAATCAATATGTTTTCCATCCCTTCCTCCTCATGGCATTAGTGACTTCATGATATTCTTTGTAAGATTTTATCAATTTCAAGGACAACTGTTTTCCTTTTTCAGTTTGAGGAGACAAGTGGCTGCTATTAACAGACTAGCTGATAAAGGCATGTTTTTCTGGGATTACGGCAACGCTTTTCTTTTGGAAGCTCAGAGGGCTGGTGAGTAGATATTGGAGTCTTCAGACAGAAACAAAAGTTAATTCAAAGTACGTCTTCCTAGCCCTATATTTTGCTAGGATAGGACTGACTGGCCAGTATTATGCTGATTTGTTTAATCTCTCTTCTCATGCTGAATTTTAAGAAAACCTTTTTTTCTGGCTAGACTAAATCCTTCATAGGAACCCTAGGGTAGTCTGGTTTTATATTTCACAGTTTTTTCATCTATTTATGGACCTTTTGAATCCTTTTCTAGGTGCTGATGTTGAGAAACGAGGAGCCAATAAAACAGAATTCCGATATCCTTCCTACGTGCAGCACATCATGGGGTACGTTGGGCAGAGCTTGGAACAAAGCACTCCAGAAGGAGTCATAAGCTACTTCTGCAGGGAAAGGGAGATTAGTATAGACTCCACTTACTAGTGCAAATCTTGCTGTGTGCTATGGATAATGTTGAGTGAACAGCAGGAAACTTCATCTCACAAGTGTTAGGTCAGGATTGGTTGCCTTTTTCTCTGTTCTGGATTAATGTGTATGTTTGTGGTTTAGGAGAACGGGCAAGTCAGTCTCAAACTATCTGCAACATCACCTCTAGGTTTGTAGAATGAGTGTGCTGTAGCAGAGCAGTGTAGCTCAATTCCAACACTGAATTTTTAAAGCAGGCCTGAAAGAGCATTCTTTTTCATCTGTGCTGTTGACTGTGCTCTCTACCCAAGCTCTCCTCCTGAGCTCAGCTTTTCCTACAGGCCGTATGATCTGTTGGGCGACTGAGTTGTGACAACTTTTTTCCCTGACTCATGCTTAGCTTGTCTAGACCATGTGAATAAAGGCTTAAACATGGTGCTAGGCTAGACATGGTGAAGCACCACTCAGATTAGATCTCTTCCTCCGGAGCTCAAGTGAAGTGTGTTTTACTATTGTCTATAAACAACAAGTGAGTCTGATTTGGGCATTTGTTCAGACCTAAACTTGTATGATAGTGTAGATGCACTCGTAATTAGTTTAAGAAGAGAACAAATTAAAAAAAAAGAAACAACAAAAAAACCCCAAATACCCCAAAAACCAGATCCTCTGATGCATGTTTTTGTCTGCGTTGCTTAGCATTGCTATGAAAATTCAGGTCTGCCTGCAAGTTTTTGTACACCATTTGATGGCTGCATGAAACAGCACTGTTTAGTTTCTGAATTAATGGTCTCTGATGCTTCTGTTTAGATTAGTTCATTCAAAATGTTTCAAATTCTTCCATCTCCAGCTAATGAAAGAAAAGCACTGCTAGCAGCCAGGATAAATAAGGAAAGAATTTCAACTATCTCCTAATGAAACATATTCTCTTCTCAGGGACATTTTTTCCCTGGGATTTGGCCCATTTCGCTGGGTTTGCACCTCAGGTGACCCACAGGACCTTGCCACCACTGACTCAATCGCCATGTCTGTGCTGGAGGACTCCATACGTAGGGGAGGTAGGAAACCATCCCAACATCCCCATAACTGGGGATGCTTTTGGAGAGAAAAGTTAGTTTTGTGACTTCTGATGGCTTTTGTCTGAAATCTTAAAAAGTTGTTTCTTGCTCATTCCACGTGGGTAAAAAATTTCATTTGTTCTCCAATTCCTACAAGGACTGCAAGATGTAAAAAGTAAGGTAAGATATAAAAACATGTAGAGGGGTTATTGATCCCAAAGCTATTGCAATTCTGATTGTTTCTTTCTGCTTGTTATAACTTTTCCTGCAGTTTGTCACCTTGAAACTTTAAAGCAAGGCATGTCTCTCATCAACAGGTTTTAGAGAGTTGTTCTCTTTGTTTTTAAATTGTTTTGTCCCTGTCTCACAGAAAGAGAAAAGAGGCAGGGAGACCTGGAGAGGTTCTTAAGAGGTTAGCAAGCAGACCAGAGACAGAACCCAGATTTCCTGGATGTGGTGCTCCATCCAGTGTCATTTATTTGTGATTACAGTTTTGATGTTTGTCTTCTAGATCATTTGATAACCACGTAACACCTTATCCTATTTGCTGATAGAACCCATCTGAAATACCTTCATAGATCTATGTTTTACTCTAGGAATTACACCAACTTTCATCTTTCCATATCCCCTAAAATGGACCAGTGTTATCCCAAGTTTATGGATGGGATTTGAGACAAAGAAGCTATGTTGGGAAACATAAATCATGATCTGCCAGGTTACAGTGGAGGGCCCTAACCCTTCTGCCTTTTTCTGTGTCTACTTTTACAGTAGCACAATCAAAAACTTGATGTCCTCGTCCTGTAGCACTGAAGTTCTCTGTTTCCATGTAGTGGGCCTTTGTGCTTCTTGGAATCAATCAAATGTCTGTTATTTTGACCATTAAAAATTTACTATTTCACCTAAATACTGCAAGCACCCTTTGCTCTGTCCCAGGTTGGATCAATCTACATTCTGGTTTGCTTTTCTGGAGCATTTTGAATTGACTTCCAGGTGTATGCTGTAATTCAATGTGAAAATGGATGAGAACTGTAAAGTGGTGTGGAATATGGTATCTTGGCGTACAGCGGGCGCTGAAATGGTTGTAATACAAAGTTCCAGTGCACAAATCACTGTGACTTAGTGTATTATGTCAGCTGAGCCCCGGCAGTTGCACAGGTCTCTTAGGACAGGGTGATGCAACACAGCTTAGCCCGTAGAGAAGGAGCCTCCAGGCTGCTGCTGCTGTACCCTCACCTTCTGAGCTCACATTCCTGCTGTCTGGAAAGTGACGGAGTCATCATGTCCCTGAGTGATGTGTCATGTTTCTGTCTTTATTTTACTGCTCTTCAGTTTGTGTGATTGATGCAATGGAACAGCGTGGGTATAAATAAGAGAGAAAGCTAGAGAATGGTTAAAAACATGATATATAATTCTCAGACAATGAATCTATATAGCTATGGGTCTGTAAACAGGATGCAGAGTGCATTTGCACATGGGGGAGCTTGCTCCAAGATAAATCCTTCTCTGTAGTCATTCATTCCATAGTAACATGAGGTAATATACCCCTATTTTACTGTGGAATGAGTGACCTTTAGTTTTCTTTTGAGATAAAAACATTCACATGGGCAATTAGTACAGAGCTACTACTGTGTTATAAATCTGTGCTCCAATTTACCATTGTAATAGTTTATTAGTGTAACTTAACCTCGAGTGCATATTACCAACTGCTGAGATTAGTGCATGCTCAGATGAATTATTTTAGCCCGATATAAGACTGGACTTTAGAACTCAACATCATGGAGTTTGCTAAAGCTACTTATTTAGCAAAGGCTCAAAGTCTGGGCATTTAGTAGATGGGCAGAAAGCCAGAAGACATAGCATGAGCTGGACATACGACCAGTATTTCAAGCTTTAATTTAGTTTCCTAAAGATTTGAATGCAAGATGCATCATTCCCAGCTGCATTCAGTGTGACTTTTTATACCTTCTTCTAAATATATAATGACAATCACTGTATAGGCTGCAAATGATTCTATATGTTACTACTTAATCTGAGAGAATTTGACTCCCAGGTGCTGTCAGATGGTTTTAATTTTATTGAGTCTATATTGCCCTTATTTTCAAAATGCTTTCCTCCTTGCTTTCCCTTTCAAGTGAGCGCGTCTGTGAGGCAGCAGTACCACGACAACATCCGCTGGATCCGGGAAGCTGGTAGGCACAGCTTGGTAAGGCAACCTCCCCGGCACAGGTGGCCTCCCTAGGCCCAGATCACGGTTTTGAAGGCTGGAGTGAAAAGCAGGAGCGGGCACGATACTGCTCTAACTCTTTGTATGTACTGAAGGAGGGTGGACAACTTAAAGCCCTGCTGTACAGAAACATTTAGGGTGAGAGGAAGCCTTCCTATCCTCATCTTGGAAATGTCCAAATATTCCAACATCATTCGCTCTTGGCCCTGGAAAGACCCAAGCCAGTGACTCAACCTTCCCCTCCTTTGTCGCTACCTTTCCTTCGGCACCCTGTGAAATGTCCTTCGTGGTGTTTCTTTGAGTCTAGGGTAGAATCACACTGTGAACCTAACTGGTAACGCTGTTGGGTTTATGCATGCTCTCCTCATCTGGAAGCCAGACGAACTTGTGGAGGAAGAACTGGAGAGGAGCAGAGTTGTGCAGGACAGATGTTCTTTGCCATTCTTTGTCGTCATGTTTCTTTTCCAGCTCTCTGTTGCTGGTCCCAAGCCTCTGCTTTTCAGCTGTTGATAACGTGTTTGTTGATAGAGAGATTAGAGCCTAGCGATCAGGTTGATTTAAAAAGTGGGATTTATTGGACAGTAGCAGCTGAGTACAGAAATGTATCTCACTGATTGTGTGAGTAGAGATAAAACTTGGTTCAAAGAGGGGCTTAATTTATTTTTTTTTTTTTCCTGTAAGCTGGATATTGATGAATGAATAATCTCTGTTTTCTCCTACAGAGTCAAGCAATCATATGGCTCCATTTATCTGGGACCTGAAGATAAGCCAGTTGCACAGGGAACCTTATCTCTCTGGCATTTTTATCTTCCAGGTTGTTGGTTCTCAAGCTAGAATCTTGTACTCTGATCAGAGAGGTCGTGTGTCTATAGCCGTGGCGATTAATCGAGCGATATCTGAAGGGAAGATTAAGGTTTGTTTTTTTCTATTTCATATTGCCTGGCAATTTTGTTTAATACCCAAGACTGGGTTGGCAGGTGGGAAGGGGAATGAGAAGAATCAAAGAGAGCAGAAATTCATGTCATTTATGTGGGACCAGTATTCTGCTAGCATGTATTATAACTTAATTTTCCTCTGTCTGATGTCACCAGTATTGCCTGGTGTAACAGAAGGGAGACATACAGAAACTCTGATATATGCTCTCTTTCATTTCATGTTGGAAATCTGCTTTATTTTGCATTTGAGCACCTACAAGCACAGTTTATCATACTGCCTGCAGGAGATTTGCTGCAGACACAAGACAGGGGCTCTGACTACTTAGTAGTGCCCCAACTGTGCCAAATAACAAGAAAGGTCATGCCAGAGGCGCATAGTATTAAATTACTTGATTAAAAAACCCACTGAGCATATGTGGCAGTGATAAAAATGTATTTTATGGAAAGAACATATGGATTTTCCAGGATTTTCATGAGTATTGCATGTGGCTGTACAGTGTGATGTTCTGGCAGACCAAAATTCTGAAGATACCACATAATTATACCCTTATTTAATGCCATAGAAGATCTGATGCTGCTGATGGGTTCAGTTTCCATGTGTATGATAAGGGTAGTTTAAGAGCCCTTGGCATAGTTTTGTTGCGGCATCACCCCAAAGTAGTAAATTCTGTTGTGAGACAGGAGATACTACAACACAGCTCCAAGAATAGACAGAATGCATGTCTAAGGTTTTGTAATGCAGGAAAACCAAAACAAATTGTCAAACCTTTAGTGAAAAATGATTTTTTATAAGGCTGAATCACCACTGGTATTTGCAGTGCTCAAACTGATCTGTAGCCTCACGTTACAATTTGATTCAAATTGCTCTTTCTTTCATTCTTCAGACAGTAAACCTTATGAAAGGGTTTGGTCATTGCTCACAAGTAGGCATAATCAGCATCCATCCTGGCTTGTGCTCAGACCTAGGCATGTTCACTCATTTCTCTCTCATACATCCAAAATAAAGTAGTTATCTTTTTAAAAATGACAAATTCAAGTAAAGTAGAGAACAGATTACAGCTAACCAAGGTCTGTTTTTATTACTTGGAAAATGTTTGCTAAAATATTTCAAATACTGTTGACCTTCTCAGAATCCAAAAATGAACGTCACTGCAAGCTAGCCTTAAAAAATAAACCTGACCAGACAGAGCACCGCCTAGGAGTGATGACTGACAAGGTCAGACTCCCAGGCCCTTAGGATTTTGTTGGGACTTTTTCACTTCAAAATCACCATTCCTTCTCTGGCAAAATGGGTGCTTACATCTCTCTTTACTGATTTGCTAATTCATTGCCAGCATAAAATGCAAGCTAATTCCAGATCCATCATGCCAAGAGAATGAATTGCCCTTGTATAAACCCTGTGCCTGGCAAAGGATAATGAAGATCTGTGAGCTGATCTAGATTTGTCCTGGCAGTTAAATTCCAAATCAAGAATAGACTTGTCTGAGCTGTATGAGATTACTAATTCTCATTGCCACCTTATGTTTAATCTTAAAATATTCCAAGAGAAAAGGAGGGGGAAAAAAAAGACATTTCCTACTATGCGAAAACAGAGCTATTTTTGAATGTTTTTTTTTTTTTGCATGCTGAAATGTCTTTGAAATTTCAGCAAAGAAATGCTCCAGTCGCATCATTTCCCCTTCCTCTCCCTGCCTTGCTTGGAGGGCACCAAAACAAGCTCTTGTCCTCAGTTATGAAATGATGGTGACTCTCATGCACATGACAACGTTTCTGGTGGAATAAACAATAATAAAGCAAGGAGGAGATTCAGGGGATTTTCGGGAACACCCTTAAGGGAACAAAATTGTTTTCAGGTGAAGTCTGAAATGGGGTAAGACAGAAGTATAACCTGCAACAGATCTTTTATTGGCAGCGTTGACGGTTCATGAAAGATTCCGTTCTCTTGTCACTGCTGTTTTACAGGGTCCTGTTGTCCTCAGCCGAGATCACCACGATGTGAGTGGGACCGACAGTCCTTACAGAGAGACGTCAAACGTTTATGATGGATCAGCCTTCTGCGCAGGTCAGCAGAACAGCTGGGACTTGTCTGCCCAGGGAACAAGGAAATTGCTTTAGATGAGATTTTTAATGCAACATTTGTAGAAATGTTTTTGTTTAACCCTTTAATCCCAATTAATCAGCTTTCCTGTGAACTTGACATAAAAGCTTTGTAGAATTTAAAAATGATACAGAAATGAATGCTGACCTAGTTAAATGAGAGTCTTGGAAGAATGGTGTTATAAATTTGAAGCAATGCTGAAAATTTGGTGAAGATGGACCAGATTTATCTGAATGTAAATGGAGAGTAGTCTGTCTCGGACAATATCTTGTATTTGATTTTAATTTTGCACCCTGAGACTTCAAAGAGGCAATCTGAGCAGAATTACAGCAGTACTTCCTTGGGATAGGCAAGGTCAAACTCAGGTCTATAAAAGTACTTTATTTAAAGCACTCAGATTCCCAGCTCTGTTCGTTCAGCATGCAAGGACTCAAGAAAACAGTCTGGAGTGTTTGGAAAGGACCTTTTCCGGTCATATGGGAACATACTTTGATAGTAAAAGCACAAGAATGGAAGTCAGGAGTTCTGGATTAGATTCCAAGCCTTGCTGCTTGCTCACAGTGTGACTGGGCAAACTGCGTAGGTTTAGTTCTGCATACCTGACCTGAGCTACCCAGAATCTGCTTTTGAGATTGTGAAATGGCCCTTTAGAAAAATAAACTCAAGAAATATCAATTTGGAGACAGGAAAAAAATGAGTGAAGAGCTAAAAATTTAACCTGAATTTTCCTCAATTTTCTCTCCATAAAGTAAAAAAAAAAATCACAGTTTTAGTTCAGTCATCTTTCCACCTGTCATGAATTGGCAGCCAGGAAGAGGCTTGAGATATGAGGACTCAAGCTGCTGTAGAAAGAGAAATTATGATTGAGGTGCCTGAGAATACTGAATGACTTCCATTAGGACTGGCAGTTCATAATAGGCCTAAATTTAGGTTCTGCTTTTGGGAGGAAAGTTCCTTGCTTTGCTTTCCTGATGAAGCTTATAGCTGTGTGTCAGCTCCACTCATAGACTACTTCTTTTCAGCTCCAGTTTGAGTAGGTTGGCTCATTCTAGTGGTCCAGATGGACAGAGACTTCAGTTTTGGTTCTGACAAGATGTATGAAAATGGGGAAGCTGCACAGTGAGCTGAGCCAAATCAATGTCTCCACTCAAAGACTCAACTAAGTAATCCCAGAAGATGCCCACAGTAGAGGGCAACAGAAACAAGGCTTGCTAAAACCTAGTTTTATCACACTCACAAGTTCTTCCTTATGCTTTCTAAATTACATGAACCACTTGGTCTATTCCAAAGCCTGCTGACCACTTGTTTCAATGGTCTTGGGAAAGGCCACCTTAGGTCTTCCACTCTCCCTCCCGTCCTGTCATTTTCCCACCATAGCTCATTTGCTTGAAACTGGTTCCTCTGACACACTGGATTGTTTCAGAATGTTTCCCTGTCTCCCTTGTTTTCTCCATAAGTACCTCAGCCTGATCACTGGCCAAGCATGGGTTATTGTGGCTCTGCAAAGTGTATTTCAACACAGACATTTGTTCCATTAGTGACCTTTACTGAGGCCAAAGGACAGGACGTTATTACTTAGTCTACTTGTCACAATCCTCATCTGACCTTGGCTCTACTGGCTGAGGAAAAAAATCTCTGCTTTTTTTTTAGAATATGAGCTTTTTATCTCTCTTGTTCCCCTTCCTTCTTAGCAGCACTGTAATTATGATAATTGGGTTATTAAAGTGACATAATGCGACATAAAGGATGACATAATGGGGCTTTTGACAGGGTTTAACATAAATTAATGCTTGAGTAAATTCGTTTTTCCATCAGACAGGTAACAATTGTGAATCTGCAAATGGGACTGTGGGGTTTATTTTTACTGTTAAAACCATAGCAAATGATCTATAAATCCCAAATAAAAAATCAGTCACATTTTCTGCAGATTTCACCCTATTATTCTCTGCTGGGTGCATTTCTTTCCACCTCTGAACGTATGTCCTTTTGCATATATCCATGCATCTTCAGCTGAGGAGTGGTGGTAGGTTCTTTGTCTGCTTGAGCTTGATCACAAATACAAAAGACATCAGTGTCCTCCCAAACCACAAAGGGAAACTGGCTTTTCCTTCTGCTATTGGGAGTGAGGACAAATAATCTCTTGCCTGTTTCTCCCAGCATGATATGGTTCACTATATATGTATTTATTTGTAATTGTGAGAGAAGCTGTGAGTAAACCCTGCTTCCAACAGTGACTTCACACCATCATGATGAAGGTGTCAGTGGAAGGAAAGCAGAGGGCTGCTGTAACATCTCTTCTCTTTTCTAGACATGGCAGTACAGAATTTTGTAGGAGATGCGTTCAGAGGAGCTACCTGGGTTGCCTTGCACAACGGTGGTGGTGTTGGCTGGTGAGGAGAACCCGCTTGTTATGGAGTTATCACTGTTGTGTGTATGTTGGGGGGAGAGAGATGGGGAGGGAACTGTGGAGGTGTGGGGTGCATTACTGGAGTAGGAGAGTGCTGTGATTGTGGAAAGGATGAGCTTGGAGACAAGGGCTGAAAGGATGCATGTTATGGTGAAATGTGGCATTGCACAAGGCTTTTTTTTAATTAATGCCTATGCATCAAGAAAAAGTGTTTTGGACATTGGCCATGGCATGATTTGGAGAAGTTAATTTACTAAATAGAGATGATCTGCTATGGTCTTTTTGAACAAATCCCATTTCCAAAGTTGTCTTCACACATGCACCACCGGAGTGTTAGTGGATGGATTATGTTTAGGTTTCCCCTTAAGCTGCACTTAAATCTGTGACCTTAGGACCCCAATATAAACATCCATGTGCTAAAGTGCAATGAGGGGCTATTGATACAAAACAGCCCCGGTGTCAGCAACCCCTCTACTCTCTCTTCTTTCCACTTGCTCCTGCCTAGTAGGATAAAAGACCAGGGCCAAGCAGAGACTTGATTGAACAGCTGCTCCTTCACCTAGGACACAGAACTGGGAGAAATACCAAGGCTGGGAAACAGAATGAGAAAAATATCATATATGTAGAAAAAAAATCATCCCCTTCATTTGTAGGGTTGATAGCCTGGATTGTTCATTCCAGCAAAGTATCTCCCATTTAAAGCCATGTCTTTGTTTTCTGGTGTAGCTGGTGAAAATATTAAATATATATTTATATATATGAAATACCATAGTGATCCCTCTCGCTGTTCCATCCAGTTTCTGCAGAATATGCTAACAAGAGCAAGTCACATATAAAGAATTTACTTCAGATGTTATCCTCAGAAATATATGAGGTTATTTCTTTATTATTTGTTCTGGAGATGGAAGTTGGAGCTAGAAAAATATCCCTTCAAATCAGATGGAGAATTCCCTCCTGTGCAGTCTACTAACTTTGATTTCAGTGAAGTAGCTACTGAACAGAAGACATGTGAAAACAAAACTGGATGGCGGAGAAAAAGGTCTCTGAAAATCTGACTCTATTATTTCAGTGATAACCATCAAGGCCAGGATTTCATTTTTAACTTCCAGAATTACGGATGGGAAATACATACTGGCATACCTACCTACTCTGGCTACTCTCTCTGGCTGTCTCGGTCTCTACAGATTGTAGCAGATTAGATCTGTTTGAAGAGCTGTTGTTAAATTTAACCTTTTAAAAAATCTGGTCATGAAATATAAGCAAACACAATCACCATGCATTATCTTAAAGTATTTGGAGTATTTTCATCCTTGTTTAATTCTTATAATTGAAAAAATAATTGCTTATGCCAGAAGTTGTTTGTTCAGTGTGTTGATGATGTTTGCTCCAAATTCAAATCGTGCAAATCATCATGTTCCTCATCTCAGTCTGGCTTTTTCAAGGCCAGTCCCTCCTGCACGTTTCCAGCCCTCTGAGCAGTCTGAAGGGAGACCGGCCAAGGCTGTGGAGACCATTCCTGCTTCTGGAAAAGCAGCAGGGGCCCGGCTGCCCTTTCAGTTGGACTGTTTTAGTTGGTTCCTTCATGGAGCTGCATCACTGGAAAGAAGATATCCTTGATGGCAGAGCAGAGGTGCTGCCACTTATATGATGAAGAGCAATATTAGCATGTGGCTATTCACTGAAATCAAAATATCCATGGAAAAGCAAGCACTGATTTTCCTCTTATCAGTTCCTGTGGTTGCTTTGTGGCTTGTCATTGCAGAACCTTGCTCACCTTGTTCTTGGGAGCCTTCTTGGCTCTCTGTGATTAAACGACTGTTCTTCAGTGAAGAATGCGGAGCATTAAAATTAGGCCTGTCTCAGCACAAGCCCTAATAAGCCTCCATGCTGAGCCTCGGACGTGGTAACAATGTCGTGTCATTAGGTGCTGTGGGCTGGAGAGCGCCGAAAGCCTCTGCACCACACGTGGTGCTGCTCGGTTTAACTAATCGTGGCACCACTTGGCTAGTTAGAGCACTGTCCCCCTTGGCCTTTTGCCTCTAAGGAGAGAGAGAAGAATAATTTAAAGGTGGGAAAAGGGAGAAAATCAACCCCCTGCCAGTATTATATATATATATATATATATTATTTTTTTTTTTTTTTTCTGAAAAAGCAAGATGCTTTCAGGTTTTGCCTTGCCTCTGCAGAGGTAGAAGTTCAGTTGACTTTGCCATAACAAAATCTCCTCGTGCCTAATAAAATAAGCACCTTGTAGGCAGCTGATAGGGAGGCGTGAAAGTGCATATGGAAGCTGACCTGCGTTTACAAACGGATATGAACGTGATTGGGAAGGAATAAAATTATCATCAGAACGGCCCTGTTCCAAGAGTTCAGAAAAGGCAATTGCTCTGTTTTCAGCTGCCCAAGTTCCCAGCAGAGGTTGGGAGCTGTTGACAGGTCTGGCGTGTATTCCTAAAGACGCTAGAGAAATACCTTTGACATGCTTTGATTTCTCAGAGCTACAGCCTTGTGCAGCAAACAGAAAAATGCAGGATTAATATTTATTTAGCTGGAATCTGCATCACATGTGCTGTTTGAGAGACTTAAGATTAACGTGTTCTTGACTATAAATGCAGCAAATGAATGTCATTCATTTCTTACAGCCTTTTAATTTGCAGGAGAAATGTATATTAGCAAAGAGCCCGAGTAACCTGTAGTAACAAAAAGGCAGCTGTAATTTAAGAATTGAACTGTTGACAGTGTGACATCTTGATTGTGAGAGAGGCCTTGTTTTCTTTGATCACCTTAAAAGGAGACATCTGGAAATTTATAGGAGGTACCTTAGGTCAAAATGCCACATGTTTCTTTAATTATCTTAAAATAGGACCCAATGCTAATGAAGGCAGAGAGCTCCCCTTTAAAAGTGAGAGATTTTGCTACAAAATCCATCCTAAGAAACATTGGTGTTTAATTTATGAATGGTTTTTAGACAGCAGGGCCGATTCTGTTGAGTGCTTCTGATTTACACTGGAGTAACTCAATGGAAATGGATGGAGAGAAACTAAACTTAGGAGTGCAAGTGAGATCAGATGCTCACAGTTTATGCCTAAGCTTCAAGGGATGCTCTTCAGGATGTTGTGCACAGAGGGGATCTTTGCTACTGAATGAACATCATCTGCCAGGTGGAATATCTTTAGGAAGCACCAGTCCAGAGGTCTGATTTTCTTATTGTCCTGTATTGTCAGCAGGCTGACTTGAGGTGAGATTATACTGTGATATTACTTACACATTGATGTCGATTCTTGGGGTTTATGTGACTGGAAACAGAATCTGGAATTTCAGCATGAAATTAATCTCAAGGGACAAAATATTAAGTTTTGTCCTGAAAAGTTTTGACAGTGTCAGTCAAAAAGAAGCAGCTTGTATTGAAATATCAGCGTCACGGTATTCAAATATCTCCCTGCTAACTCGATTCTTTAGCTGACATCCTGAGAGGAGAAATGCCAGTTTCACGAAAATTCTGTATTTCAACAGAAAATGTATTTAAGTATTTCAGCCAACTCTAATAATGATAATGGAGAGCGAGTTCAGAGATTGGTAACTTACTGAAAACTGCAGAACTTGCATTAATTTCCTTGCTCACCTACTGATGGGCACAGTTGATGAGTACTGATGAGTCTGACCACATTGCTGGTACCTATAACTAGTGAAGGGGGATGAACATTATGTAAAGAGCAATAAAACACTGAAAATGTGACTTCTGTTCAGGAAGACTTCAGTTCTGTCAGGATCCAATGTAGCCTTCTAAGAAAAGAGACCACAGATGATGTCGTTTGAGATGTCCAGGCTGCTGCTGAAAAATATACAGTAGAAAATAATTCTGTACTGCTTTGGGAGGCACCTGGTTCATCCAATGTTGTTCTATGTAAATATTATGAACTTATATTAGCTATAAAATACAGGACAAAACTGCTCCTAGGGACCTTCACTAGTGTTCTCCTCTTGTACCCCGTGCATTTGTGGGCAGGATAGGTCCCCTTTCTCTCCAACACTGCAGCTGCTGGCTTGTAACGCCAGAACTCTCTTACAGATCTACAGCAGCAGATAATTTTCCAATCATCCTCACCACTATTCACCACATGCAACAAAACAGGAACTAGAGCAGACAGAATCTGAATCAGACAAGATGTTTTGCTCCGCGTGTTTTCCCTGTTCTTTTAAAACCAGCCTGGTATTTCTCCCAAGCCTATCTGCTAGTCTATAGTGTATTTCTGTTCCTCTCTTGCCAACAAGTCTGCTCCTCAAAGTTGGCTCTGATGTCTTTAAGCATCTATGTTTCTCATACAAAGCAAACGGCTGATTTTGAAACGATCGAGGCAGATGTTTGCAAAGGGATGGTTAACGCTTTTTTAATAAAACACACTCTCATTTGTCCCGAGAGAATATAAATAGACCCATCTGTCTGTTTTAATAAGTATACAGTTCTCACAGTCCTGCTGACATAGAAGACCCTGGGTGATAAACATGAACAGTTTGATCTAAAAATCCCCAAGACAGGTAACTCTTTGGTCATCAGAAACACTAACATGTCTTTACCTGTGGTTTCTAAAGCCCATACAGGGTGCAGTGCTCAGAGGTGCAGAGCTTTGCTTTGGCACTTGCACTTGGAGCAGATGCCACCAGCAATTGGGCATTAGGGGGAAGACAGCACAGATTTCCTGCCCTATTCCAGGCTAGGCCTTTGCCTGGCTACTTTTCTAAGGTATAAAAAAGCCATTGATAATATTTCTTATTCAGCACAATTTCTGTGTTCCCATCCTTCTTCCACAAGTTCAACTGAACAAATTCACTTCTGCACATTTTGTGAGATCGTTTTGTGTTGTTTTGGTATTATTATTATTATTACTATTAACAACTTTTTTTATAGGGGTGAAGTGATCAATGGGGGCTTTGGCCTTGTTTTGGATGGGTCTGCGAAGGCTGAAGAACGAGCTAAAATGATGCTCAGCTGGGATGTTTCCAATGGAGTAAGCAAAACTCATTATATACGTAAATTATAAATACCATCTTCCTGCCCCAAAATGTGCCTTCATTTGGGGCTAGCGCTGTTCAGGTACTCCAGTTCTCCTCCTCCTGCTCATTTTAACTGAATGGGAATTGAGCATAAGAGTGTGGGATCTTGCCCTTTGCATCCCGGGAATAGTCCTGATGGGCCAAATGACTCATTCTGTCCACTCCTAATACGGGCTGTTTATGAATGAGCCTCATCCCACTGAAATCAATGGAATTCTTTTTTTAACCAACTTCAATGGGCTTTGAGTTGATTTAAAAAAAAAAAAAAAAAAAAAGTCTGAAAAATTCTTGGGTAAGGAATTTGCTGTAAAATGTCCAGAGAACTCCCCCTGACTTTATAGCAAACAGGAGTCCGATCATTTCCACATATCACAGTGTGAGTTGCTTTTTTGTTTGTTTGGCTTTTTTTAAAGAAAAAGAAAACAGAACCAAGTTCAAGGTTATTTTAAATTAGATGTTTGTTCCTTATCTCCACAGCAATGACAATAACACTTGCCATTTAAGTGCCAGCTTGTGCAGCCCTTGCTAACGCTACAGCCAGTTTTTGCCTTCTATTAGTGTTCAGATGTGCCCTGTCTTTGACTGTGAGGCCATCTCTGAATGAGCAGAAATGGCACAAATGGCTATTTGGTTCAGTCAGACGGAGTCAGTTCTCTTGTGTCAAGATATCTTGAATCAATACTTGCAAAAATGCATCCAGGAAGGTGTAACGATGCATAGGCCAATTAATGGAGAAGCCTGTTTTGTTTTAGAGTGGCTTAACCTCACAAGGACTTGATGGGTTAAAGGAACTCCTTGCAGATGCTGACATGATTTGTTGTTTTACTTCTCAGAAGCACGAGGGAATTCCTTCTTGCCTTAGACTTGAGCATATTTTCCTTGAAGGACCTATCTCTCAGGAGGAGTAGGGGAAAAAGAAAAACAGTTTGTATGTATTTTGTCTTAGATCTCAAATATCATATTAATAAACTATCGAGAGAAAGGCAGGACAACTGTATTAACTTGCAGATTAGAGTCATGAAGGCAAACTCTTAACAAGCCCTGTTCACCAATGACTGCCTATTAAGAACTCAGTAAATCTTTTGTTGCTCTGATTTATTGCAAACAAAAACCTCACTCCTTCATGCACATGTTTAAAAAAGACAATCCATTATGTTGCTCATTTTGTATAGAAGGCTGGAAAGAGCCTGAAATGTATCCCAGAAAATGTATTGCTAGAAATAATCAAAGGTGAGTGACAGGAAAATTGATTTTTTGACTTAAAAGGTAATTTCCAGCTCTTATTGATGTGACCCAGGCAACTTATTATTAGCCTTAGGTTAATCTTGTACTTAGATATTGGAACCTAAGCTGGTTAAATATTCTGGCTAAATATTCCAGGCACTGATTTATAAGTCTTAACAAAATTAGTTTTGTAAGGTTACAGAATATAGGGAAGTACTTATTTCCTTTAGGCCAAATCTTGATATTTTTATTCATCTAGGGAATCTGTGTCTACTAGCACAGAATTTGACTCCTTGATTTATAGTTCAAAATGCTTTAAGTGATCTTTACATTTTTCCTACTTTACATTTTTGGTATCCTACTACAAAAGCACTGATTCCTTAAACCATATCATTACCTAAAACACCTGCTAGTTTTACAGAGCTGGGATGGAGAATAGGATTATTTTGAGGGAGGGACTTTTGTGATGTATCTGTTTATAAGATACCTGAGTATTATCAACCCAACAGTATGTTATAGTAGGTAACCAAGTCCATCCAAAGCTACCCATAAAAATGCTTTGAATGAAGATATTTGGAGATGTTACACAAATTACTTGGTTCATCAATAAGGAAACTTGGAACTGGCAAGGACTTGAAAGACTTACTGCAATGAAATTGTGTGCCTGTATTTGCATAAATATTGGGTAAGATGGGATGTGGCAAGAGAAATGCAGAATATTCACACCTATCAATCAATATTTTCCTGCCTGACAGGTTGCCAGACGCTGCTGGTCGGGCAATGACTACGCTTATGAAACCATCTGCCAAGCAATGAAGGAGAACGTCACGCTGAAGGTGACGCTGCCTCACAAGGTGGCAGATGAGAGCATCCTGGAGCAAGCCTTGCAACACTAATGGTATTCCACATGCAATACTGTCCATGCAGGCACACTTTGAAGTTGCTTCCTTGATATCCATCCTTGGTATCTGGCTACATAAAACCCTTGCACATGTCTCCTCCAAAGGAAGTTACTTTTTTTTTCCTTTAAATCGTAAGTAGGGCAGACATGAATCTCTATGCAACAGAACTAAGTCCACTCATGTCAGGAGCATATTTGGAATGATATTTACAGTAAGGTACTATTCACTGTAAAGAAAGGAACTGAAGTTCATCCCTGATAATTAGACTTTATAAAAAATATCTACTTAGGTTTGGCAGATCAGTTGTAGAATTGGAAACTGGAACTCTCCATCCTAATTTGGAGTCTGCTGCTAACAGCAAATAGCCATGAAATCCAGCTGCACAGGGCGTGGGAGAAAAGACTTGTGGAATTAATCTTCAGATGATGGTGTAATGATGTCACATGTGCTAGATACAAACTTTTCTGTACTGCCGTGACAGTGATTGCCGTTTGCAATAGAAAGGGACAAATAAATAGCAAGTGGTTAGTGCAGCTATCGTGTGTCTGTGTTTGCCTGGAAAATGGTCACCTGAGATTTTTACTACAAGCAGGAGCAGGTTGTATTGCCAGGTAGGGTGGGTGGAAAAGCCTGAGGGTGGTAAGTGTTAAACCACTTCCAAATGCCTTATACCAAGGCCAGAAAAATGTGATACTAGAAAGTCTGAGATGGTGCAATTCTTTATCCAGTTTGCTGGCTCGCACTGATGAGCTGTTCTGCTGTAAAAGCTTGTTCCGCTTGAGCAAGATGGAACATCTTCTAAACATACGGAAACCTTGTGAAAAATCTAGATGCTTAGTGCTGGCTTCTAGTTTTTCCCAAGACAATACAGGCTACTCATCTCGGTTTCCATTCTCCCATTCTGGCCATTCTCTGCAAATGGAAATGTGCTTTCCTGGAGATCTTGCACACTGTGGTCTTACGATGATAGAACTGCTGGACCCTGTGGTACCTACCAGGTGAGCCCCTTGCACCCCAGCGCTGTCCCTGGTGCCAAGTGAGCAAAAGGGCATTTTTTTTTCTGTGATTCAGGAAAAGCAGTTCTTGACTCTGTTCACGTACTGTGCATGTCTCCGGCTGAGCAGTGTGAGTTGGCATCTGCTTGCAGCTGAGCTGTCTGTGAAGTGCAATCTGCAGTTGGATGGAATTGCTTCATATTATGAAAAAAAAGGAAAAAACCCAAGTTACACGATTGAGACACGAATAGCTGTCAGCCAGATTTAACAGCTTTTCCTTTAACATATGTTATATGTTACCTCCTAGTACTAACCACCCTGGCCAGGGCCCAAGGTCTCGCTGGGTAGCACTGTCCTATAAAGCCGTTAGTCTTTACGCAAGGCGCAGGGCTAGTTTTGTTAGGAGGAACATGCAGAGCCTCTCTGTGCTGAGAAGTGGGGCTCTGCAACGAACTCGGGGGTTGCTTATCCCATGTCTGACAACTCTGCTCTTTATGGTGATTGTTGTGTGTGCGGGGCCCGAGGGCCGCGGGCTGAGACCCGACGCACTTCACTGCGGCGGGGGCGCAGCTCCCCCTGCCGGAGCCGCGGGGGCTCCGCGGTCATTCCCAGCGGGAAGAGGGGATCACCTCCCCTTGTCCTTAAACAGCGGGGAATTATACCCCGCATTTCCTGAAAATTTCCTGAAAATGCGGGGTATAATCTGTCTGTAAAGAGTCAGTCACTGAGCACTCCCCTTTGTACGAGCCCCTCGAGGCCGCGGACGGGACGTGCGACGTGGAGCAGCCCGTCCGGGCGCGATGGGCGCCGAGGTCGCCCGGGGCCAGGGGTGGCCGCGTGGCCAGCGCCGCCCGCGCTCCGCTCCGCACATCCGCGCTCCGTCTTTCCCCTGCGCCTCCCGTCCCGCTCGGGCTCCGCGCTCCGTGTTTGCGCGCTCGCCGCGCGGCGCCCGCCCGGCCCCGCCCCGCGGCTCCGGTTTCAGCCGCTGCTACAGGGACCCCCAAGATGGAAACGCAGGGGCTGCCCGCCGCGGAGGCGGCCCGGGCCCGGCCCGGC